CCCGATTCTGGACAAAATCGAGGTCAACAGATTCTTCATGTAACAAAGGAATTCAAAAAACTATTTCAGAAATTTCTAAAATTTTGGAAATTTGTAAAGTCAAAAAGCATACTATAATAATAAAAAGTTAATATTAATATATAATAAGATGGCTGCTTTTACAATTTTCATAGGCCCGAGTAGGCGTTTTGTTGGGAGGCAGTTCAATGGATATTTTGCTTCAGCGGCACATTCATTTTAATTACAACTATATTAATATATGCACACATTCTTTATTAAAAGCTCAGTGTTGTCAAGTCACCGTGAGATATCACATTTTCATATTTTGTTTAGCAGAATATCCTTGAATAATTATGGTATAACTTAATTTGAATACAACACAAGTAATTAGTAATGGAGGAATCATATATGGTCGGCAACGATCTATGATTTATATAAATTAATATATTAATAAATTATTACGAATTATCATATAAGTATCAAGGAGATGAAATAAATATGTCTACACGTTCAATATTGAATAAAAAGTTTAATAATAGATATAACACATAATCTATATCATGTATAACAGGTAACATATATTTAATCATATTAGTCATGATTTGATCACTTAATAATATATTCTGGACTTAAATATCATAATATTAGTTATAAATGTATGATATCATAACTATCATAATTAAGGATAGTTATCGAAATACTTGAGTATATACATTATTATCTAATTAGGGTCGTAAGGTTCGATTTGTCTCATATGCTCAAATAAGCGGCTCAGAAAAGTACAAATATATATTTTCAGACTTTGCAAGCTTCGACGTCCGAAAACAAGGGGGCAACTAATACATTATCAAAAAATTATCTTGATCAGACACGAATCTCGAAGCAAAATTGAGTTGAAAGCTTCCAAAATTAAATTAAAGATCATATGAATTCCAATTTTAGCAAACTTACAGTCGAGCTGAGCGTCTTGGAAGCACGAACCGAACGACACCAAAATCAACCCAATCCGAGCCCAAATGGGTCAAAATCAAAGACTCGAAGCACTTTTGGAAGAATCTAACCATAATTTGGATTACGAAACGGTTTTCAAATATGGTATGCTTATATTCAAATTGCGCGGCTCGACGAGACAAATCCAATAAGCCTAAGATCACTTAATTATGATATCATTAAGACATTAAAATGACCATTAAACGATTCGTGATCAAAGGGGTCAATATCGACCGTCCATTCAAATACTCCCATTTGGACCTTGATCCTCCACATATTTACAAGCCATGCTTCTCAAAAAACTATAAATAGCCCCCACTCTTCTCATGAGAGGGGAGGAAGAAGAAGGAAAGGAAGGGAGGAGTTTGGGAGCTCTCTTGCCATCGACCACTGCCGGAGTTCTTCCCAACCACCGTTGGAGTTAATCCCGACCACCGCCAAGGTTCTTCCCGACCACCACTGAAGTTCTTCCAAACCACCGATGAACTTCTACCAGTCTGTCGACCGCCACCGGTCTTCCACCAGTTTTGACCATCGTCGGACTTCTGCCAGTACGCCGACCATCGTTGGACTTCTGCCAGTCCGCCGACCATTGTCGTACTTCTGCTCATCCGCCGATCTTTGATGGAATTCTTCCCGACCGCAGCCGGAGTTCTTTTTGGCCACCGTCGGACATCCGCCAATTCGCTGAACACCGCTGGACTTCCGCCAATCTGCCAACTACAGTGCTCCCAACCACTATCATTCGATTACGGTCATCCCGACCTCCATCGCATGCTAATTACAATCTTTCGAACCTTCGTCGCCCGCCTACTACGGTCCTCCCGACCTTCGTCGCCCGATCCTTTTAACCTCCATCATCTGCCGACAAATGGTACTTCCGACCCTCATCACCCATCAACTACGATCTTTCCGACCTCCGTCACCCGACGATTATGATCCTCCCGACCTCCGTCTCCATACAACGGTCCTTTTGACCTATGTCGCTTGTCGACTACGGTCCTTCCAACATTTATCGAAATACAACGATCCTTCTGACCAATGTTGCTTGTCGACTACGGTCCTTCTGACCTTTATCGCAATACAACGATTCTTCTGACCTCTGTCGCTCACCGACTACGATCCTCCGACCTCCATCACCTGCCGAATATGATTCATCCGATCTATATCACTCATCGACTATGGTTTTTCTGCCCCAAATAAACATCTCAACATTGATTCATCCGACTCCCACCGTGTAATATACTATGTATGATGTATATTTGCTACATCGAGCCAAGACCTTCCTCTTAAGGAATGGCCTCATTTGTAATAGACTGCAAATACTAATGGATTCATTCAAACTGGGCCAGACCCCGTGGTTTTCCCCCCTTTTCAAGGGTTTCCACGTAAAAAATCTGGTGTCTCTTATGAACTTTACACCCTCTCCTTTTTCTGCTTGTGTTTTAGATCTTCGTACAAAGCTACGGCACTAATCTTTATATTTCTCTACCGCCGCGAATTTTCCAGGACGCAACAGATTTCACAATTCTCGTTGGGATTCCATCCAACTCATAAATCATGCAACATACTGCTGCTTTCACAGTTAAGTATTGTGTCAGGTTAGGTATAGGATGGGTCAACCAAACTCGTTGTGCAAGTTGAATGCTAAAGATGCTTTAAACCTCCTCTAAAATTTAGTTCACTCGGGGTTTCCATGCATCAAAGAAGAAACTTTAATTATCCAAACACCTCGCCAGAATTCTATTTGTTTGGTTTTTTAAAATTATTGAGCCCAGAATATCTTCTGCAGAGAAGTAGCAGGGAGAAGATAGTCTAGAGAGGAAAGAGGAGGTAGAGGGTCAGATTAAGCAGGAAGGAGGCGGAGAGTTCGATTATTTGAAGGAGGAAGAGGGGATCAAAGAAGAGTAAAGGAGTAGATCTAGCTAAAGGAGGAATCTACACTGGTGCAAAAGTTATGCAGAACAAGGGGGAGATGACTGTTATGATGCTGCCCATCTTGGCAGCTGTGTTTAATGTATCCTAACGATGTTGGAGGCTGTATTTAGGTAGATAAGGGGGTAGAGAAATGAGAAATGTGTCTTATAGGGAGAGAAAATATGCGAAAAAGCTATGAATATTGATTGAAATGGAAATATTCAAGTTATTGTACTCTTAAGAATTTTTTTATGTTAATATTCGTGATGAGACATGACAGAGTGAATTAACCTTGAACCCCCCACTTTACCGTTTACCCTTCTGTTCATGTTGCCAATAGACTTTTGAAAACCTTCCTTCCAGTTGCACACAATGCCAAAATCCATCCAAATAGCTATGATTAAGAGCAGCTTAAACAATTTATTGTAGGGTTTATAATTGTGGGCTCCAAAAATTTGGCCCAAGCCTCCGCCCGCTTTTCTTTTTTTATTCGGCGAGTGAGTTTTAACTGAATAAGTTTCGATGTAAATTTTGGAAGGCAGATGGGTTTGTAGATAAGACACTACCCAGAGATTTCACCCTCATTTTGCGAGGACTTTATGATCTGAGTTCTGGTTTCCTATAGGCGCAAACCCCATAGTTTATTACCCCTCCCGATCACGAGAGAGAACTTTCGATTAAGGCTAGTCGTCAATCAGATACGTAGAGAATACTTGTTATCTGGTATATAGTAGCAGCAATGAGTATTGATATTGAGGATTGAAGAATTTAGAGAATTGGAAGATTTGGATATTTGATATTTAAAATTAGAAATTTCACCATCTTGCACTTAAAGCGGATGTTGGGGGAATGGATGATGGACCCGATCAAGATCCCATGGTTCCGTCATCCCAGGCCATCATGGTCCTTAGACTACTTAGTCATAGGAGGTAGTCGACCCAACCTGACAGAAGGATTCTTGTCGGCAGCCATGAGTTGCTTCGTCCAAGGGGACCTTGTAGACCTGGGTTGGATGTTTGTCTAAGGGGACAAATTTGAATCCACCTTAGTTGACAGAGGGCTTTGTGCCCTATCGATCATATCCTATTGATTCATATCTCAAGAATTTGATGTCAATAAGGAACGTAATGGCGCTGGCAATAATTAATATTTCGTGGTGCCATTTGACGGCAAAACCACTCGGTTCAGAGGGCCCCAGGACATAACCGTTTATCCTGTGGAGCCATTTGGTGGCAGACCACCGGTCAGAGGACACGTACCACGTCCTTATCGATAGGAGACTATTTTGAGAATGGATCCTAGTGATATTTTTTACTATGCATTTGGCACTTTATGAGCTGAAATAGCTTTAAATTTGTCCACCCCGGCAAACTGTTGTGGAGGGTGGATGGATTTTGCTTTAAATATTGAATGGATGATTTTTTATTTTAAATATTTTTTGGAATTTTTGGATTTCGAGATTTTTGTGGAGTTTTGAGTTTTTTTATTTTTATGGGTGTTTTGGGTGGAGCTTTGGATTTTGATGGGCATTTGGATATTTGGAAGACATTTGAAAATATTTGAGAACCCCTCTGGTTGAGTAAACATTCAACACAGCCATCATCAGGGTGTTTGGGGTCATTTCTCTTTATGGTTTGAACCTTGTCAACTCTGTCGGACTGTCGACAAAGGATCGAGTTTCGTAGGCTTTATGCCTTTGAGAGTGAATTCTCTTGATTGTAGGCCTTGAAGGCCTAATATGAATGTATTGAAATAAATACATCGGTCTCCACAACTATGTATTTGTTTGAAGGGTTCGAACCCTATCGACTCCTATTGATCCGTATAGAAGGATCGGGTTCAAACAAGAATTCACTTATTGACCCGCGCAACATCCCTAGACGTCACGTGTGTACTAATAACACGTTCGCCGGGGCTCATGCTAGTTTGAGTTTATATTTTCCCCTTTAGTGTACCTATATGTATATAAATTACAGTGCACGTGCAGGGGTATTTTAAAAGTATTTGTAGACGACTTCTGTCTGCTTGCATAGAAGTCGCGGATCCGGTGGTGTGTTGTAACAACTTCTGAATAGAGTTGTTCACTGCTTTGTATAGGTAGACTGTCGTGCACTACTCGTTGTTTTCTGCAGGTGGATCGTAGTGCACTAACTAGTCTCCTGCCTCTACCGGAAGAGGCTCAATTTATTCGTCGCAACCTCTTTACAAGATTCATCTTGTATCATCTGCCTCTGCTTGCAGAGGACTGATGTATGTACTTGATGTTGAATGGTGATTGGTTGCAAGATGTTATTGCGCTCATTCTCAGTCTTCCCTATACGTGTTGCTCGGAGAATTATTGCATTTAAGTCCTTGTAGGTTATTGTAATTGCTTCAAATCACCCACTTATACGAAATCTCATTATCAGTCATAAGTAATTTGAATTTGGAAGAGTTCGATATAATATCTTGCAGACTCATATTTAGATACCAGTTTGATTGAAGAGCTTGGGCCACTTTAATTTTACCATTCCTTACTCCAACTCCCTCTTGTTATTTGATTGTATTTTATCTGATTATTGCTTACAAATTGATTGTATTTGGATGACTTTCTCTACATGTCCCTTGTAGTCCATCCAAATCAATTATTCAAGTTGGGGTTAAATCATGTTCTTCTGGCTGTGCTTTAATTTAAGTCCTCGCCGGTAAAATTACAACTCTTCATTATTTCTTTTAGATTTCAAGTTATGAGCCCCTTCAATATTCTCATGATAATGTCGCGAGCTGATTGATAGTCTAACACCAACATCTCCTTGAAATATAATATTAGTTACTCATTCTGGGCAGAGAACTTGAACATATCTTCTGAGTATTTTCTAAACCATGTCATAGGAGCTGAAAGAGGTGATGCGTTATCAGAGGCCTCCTTAGAAGACAAGTCTTTCAAGCTATTTGTCATAGGGATTTTTTGGCAACTAGAATCATGACCAATCTTTATTTCTTCTCTTTGATATAATTCTTCTCTACTTGAAAGATAGTCAATATGTATGATAAGCTTGGTACCATAGTCATCAACATCTTACTCCATTCGAGACGCTCGTCACAAGCTAATTGTTGTTTCTCCCAAGTTTCATATCAAAGCTTGTAGTTAACTTATACATATAAACCATCATTTAATTGTCTTTCATTTCATCACATCATTTTCTTTTTACAACTTATGAACCTCATTTCAAATGAGAGGCTTTTGATTCAAATTAATCGTTTACTCAATGCCCATTTGAGTCTGAGTCTAGTTTGAGTTTGAATTCATTTATGTCAATTTGGTCCAATCAAGTTCACAAGTCCTCTATCAACTTATCCAAGTCCTTGTTCAAATTCAAAAGTTCACTGTGGTCCGAGCTTGATTCAAGTTTGATTTCAGTCCAAATTAAGCCTCTTGCACATTTTTATTTTGGGTTCAATTATTTATTAAGCCACTTAGATTTTGTTCAAAAGTCCAAATACAAGTCATCCGTCGTTCTTGTAGAGTTCAATCAAATCCAGGTCTCAAATTATTACAATTCCTTGTCTGTTTTTCAGACAAAAATTCGGCAGCCTCCCGGCGTCTCTCCCGTTTAGGGGAAAAAATAAGAGGCCGCCTACCCGCCACGTCATTAAAGATATGGACGGTTGGTGTTGGTGAGACACTGCGGCGGTTGTATTTGTTTTTCTCCCACCACGCACACTAAAGGCGTGCTTGGGGTTTTAAAAAGCATTTTTTGAAAAGCAATTTTGATTTCTCCCTGCTAGAAGGTACTTATGAGAAAAGTAGAGTAGAATAAGACATCCACGGAGCTCCCATTGTCCTATAAAATTGTTTTGACGTTGTAACACAGGTCACCTATCCTTGCTTTAATCATGAGTGGTTCTTAATGAAGGGTTTTTACTCCCTCTAATTTAGAATCATCAAAAATAATAAAGAGGTCGATACGGGAGTTCTTCGGTGTCAACTTTTCATCCACTGTAAATAAGATTTGATTAGAAAATAAGGTGTCCCCAATAATAATTTTAATCTCACCAACTATTTGATAATTATTAAGCAGTAGTCTTTTTGTTGTTAATTTTATAGTGCAATGGGACAAGTCACATCTTGAGCAAGTAGATTTTTAATAAACCGTTAAAGGTAGCCTTGTTGGATAAGTCTCTCAATTTTATCCTTAAGCTGCTTACAGGACTCAATGGTTTGCCAATGACTATGGTGGAAATGATAATATTGATCCTGATTTCCTATATTCGACTTCAAATGAATATACCACTTAACATTTTCTTAATCTCAAATGGACATCAGTATATTTACTCAAAATGTGTTGAGTGGTGCTCCTCCTGTTTTCAAGGCTCGCGTCGTGGCAATGGGGGTCTATGAGGCCCGTTCCTCTTCCCTTATTTCTTTTGCTACAAAAATGAGTTATCTATTATAGGGGCATTCTTGTATTTATTGAAAGTTTGCTCAAATCATTTATTATGAGCATTAATAGCTACATATATAGGGGTGTCAATATTTGACACGACACGACAACCCGACCCGGAAAAACCGGGTTGGACCCGACCCGTTTGATAAACGGGTCGGGTCCGGGTTCGCAGATTCAACCCGTTTGATAAAATGGGTCGGGTCGGGTTGACCTGGCGGGTTGCGGGTCAACCCGAAAACCCATTTATTTTAAAAAATTTTAAATTTCCCGTTGTTTCCGAGTTTTAACTTTTCAGGGAGAAACAGGTTCTTAAGCATAGGTTGTCACTTGTCAGTGCTTTCAAGTTGTCATCCAGCCCAAATCCATCATTACTTATTCTGCATGTCCTTTCTTTGCTCCAATGGCAGCTTCCGTTGATTCTCCTCTGTCGCACTATGCACCAATATTAAATATAAGATTTCTGATTTCTTTGCTCCAATGGGTTCCGCGTGCCGTCCGAAATTCTGCCCCGCGTGCCGTCGCCGAACAAAAAAAAATGGGCGTGTCCGAAATTCTGCCCGCGTGTCGTCGCCTAACCCGCACCATCGCCGCTGACGCGTTGCAGAACCCTCGCGCGTCACCTACTGTCGGGTCGCGGGTCGGGTCGGGTCAACCCGGCAACCCGGCCAGGTCGGGTCCGGGTTGAAATGTCCAACCCGTTTACAAAAACGGGTCGGGTTCGGGTTGACCCGTTTATATACAGGTCGGGTCGGGTTCAACCCGAACCCGACGGGTTGACCCGAATTGACACCCCTATACATATACTGATATTTGTGCCTCCACACAATGAATTATATTAACATATGAATGAGCTATATCTCGTATAAGTGTTGAGTAAAAGGGACTAGGACAGAGGCCTCCAAGGAAAACTCCTCTCAGCAACTCGGGATCCATTCCTAAAATTTATTGAGCTTCGATGTGGAAAGATTAGAATAACTAAAGAAAGATAGCATAGATTAGCTTCTTCCACTCCATTAAACCAGTTGTTGATTAGCACTTTATTCGTATGTTTGTCTGCAGAGTGAAGCATGGAGAATCCATTATAGCAAATGCAAACAAATCATTGAGATTAATAATGGCGATAGCAAGCTTTTACTGCGTTTGGTGCATGATTCAGATATACCTGCGAGGCTGCGAACCCCGCCACAGCCAACCATTATTAATAAGTAAAAGGAAATGACTTATAAAAAGATGCTTTAAAATATTTTCTTGTCATTTTTTATGGACCTATAGATCTTGATTGTTATAAAATAAATTTACACAATCATTTTCTATGATATATTGTTTAATCATTTGTAACTTTCAAAAGTCATTTCCTTAAATCAAGTAGGGATATAAATTTCAAAATATACAGAAATTCATCTGAAATTTTCTTCTTTCATCAAAATAATCATTTACATTACAGTACATGGCTATAGATAGAAAGAACAGAATAGAAAAATCATGACCATTGCCCAATTTTAATTATAATTAGATTGGGTTGTACTCGCCCGTGTATGAGAGTACTTAGATTGTAAAGAACTTCTTTGATTTAAAGAAGTGAGATTTGGTTGGTACTGAACCATCTTGCCAGAGTGGCTTCTGACCATTGCCCAATTTTATTAACTTGATGGCAACCTTGTTGCAAATCTATTTTCATGACTTATGTTTTGATGATTGACAAACACTATTGATTCTCTTGGACTGCCTGTTACTTCTAACTTTTTAGGAATCGAAGATCGGACGAACAAACGAAGCCACTTCAAGATTGCATAGGTTTAGGGTTGAGTCAGTCTGTACTTTATTTTTTCTCTTCTTGAGTCTATTTGTAATGTTCAAAGAGACTGATCGCCAAGCTGGTAGTCAGAGCCAGTTTAAAGGACTTGTAGATGTTTACAGGATGACTCTTTCAAGTGATGGTTTTGTTGGCTTGTATCGGGGCTTTGGGGTGTCAATAATGGGCATCACTCTATATCGTGGACTCTATATCATCACTTTAATACGTATATAGAGGCAGGCCTAAGAAAAGATATAATTATTAAAGAATACGTATTAAAGCATGATCTTTTCTAAGGATTTCATATCTTCCAGATTCATCCTTAATTTTTTAATTCTCAAGTGTACTAGATCTAGATTTTCAAGACAAGTTGATTCCTCTTTTTAATGAAAATTGACCTCTACCTTAAGTCTTAAGCAGGAGAGAGTTGTAGTTGACTCCATCAAATGTCTAGATGTCCCTCCCTCCCACCGCTTTCGTGGGTTAATTTAACTTTTGAATTAAAATCTATCTCAAATTTAGGTTGATTCTAAAAATGAAAATTTTATCAATCTTCTAGCAATTTTCTATCATAATAGGAGATTCTAGCATGTCTAAAATCTGTTAAATGATTTTCAAAGTCAATCCCATACTCTTTTCAAAAAGATTGAGTGTGCTTTGAGGATTATTCTTCCTTGTATAAGAGAATGAATTTTCTTCTCTAATACTTGAGATATAATCCCAGCATTCAAAATAAAAAGATCAATCAATTTAAGGTATTTGAAGAAAGTGGAGCCTATTCTTGAATTCAATTGAAATCAAAAGATGAGCAAATGCTCTAAAAATTTAAAAAATGCGTAAATGCGCCAAGAATCAAGAAATGCACGAAGTGCACTAAGAGTTAAAAGATACGCAAACTACGTCACCAAAAAAGAAAAAGAAGAAGAGTAAGATGGCTTCCTTCCTCTAAATCCTTGAATATAAAAATAACTCGATCACCTTCAAGTACTTGACTTTGAAAATCCTGAATTTAGATTCTTCAACATGCATGAATTTTCTATTAGATAGAAGGACATGTGCAAGAAAGTTGAAAAGATCAAATTTCTACCTTCAACTTAAACTCTTTTCTTAAGTGATTCTCTTTTATTTTAGCGAATCTACAAGAGGTTAGAAGAATTTTAGAAATTTTTTGATTGGTAATGAATTGTTCGATAAACACTTTGGCAAATTTGATTAATATGGGTATAGTTCTAACTGGAAGTGAATAAAACTACGTTCGAGCTTGTCCTTTCAGGGTGGCAGGAAAAACTTTGTAGATGAGGGCGTCTGAGGCTCGCTGGATATATATGTGGTTCTCTAGTGATTGATATGTTCATAAGGGTTGGACATCCCATCGTAAGAATCTATTATATGTAATTTGAAGCCTACCGGAATGGGATGTTGAAGGATGGGTTCAATTTGGGGTTATAACTTTTTTTAAAAGTCTAATTGATGAAGATATGTCCTTCCACCTTTCATTGTGAAATCTTCTTGAACTAGTCATTGTAGTTTGTGACGTAAAGCGTTGTGTGGGATATAAGTAACATGAGGTCTGGCAAAATCTTTGGCGATAACTGGAGGAATGTGAGGTTACTGGCCAATATATGTAAGATGGGTAGAACTTGTTATGTCAACAAGTTTATTGTCTTGAGGTGATGTGGGATGCATCCTTGATTGAGGAAGACGAATATCTTCATGAATATGTTTAGCTCAATCACCTTCAACCAGTAATGGATCTTGAGGGAGAAGAACCTCCTCTTATTGTGCTAGCATTGGTTGTCGAGACTCTCGCTGAAGTTGAAGGATATCATTTTAAGATTCTTCCATCTTTCGGATAAGATCTTCTATGGAAGATCTTGAATTTCCTTCTCCAGTAGGATTTCGCCCACCAGGATAAAAAGAGGCATATGCTTGGCATCCCTGATTTATTAAATGATGATTAGTATTAGAGCGGGAGGCTCCCCAATTTTTATTACTACACTTGTTGGTCAATAAAGTGGTGCTTAGGATCATGGGATTGAGTTTCGCACATATGACACCAATCTGTTATGGCTAGAATATACGTGGTGATAGAGTTAGAATTTTTCATCTCAACGTTGTACCGATATTCAACACATAAATAGCAAATTAAAAACACAAGATCATTTACATGGAAAACTATGGAAAAGGGAAAATCACAGGTTTACGTCCAGTTAAAATGATTTCATCTCAACGTTGTACCGATTACAAATATCTGGTTCATCCTTGAAATTGAGAATGATCAAATCATAATAATTAACTGTCGGGGTGAAATCTAGTGATGAGTGAAGATCGGAAGAAAATCTGTCGACGTTCAGTGGTCGGGAGGAAATCTGACATCAGTTGGCGGCCAGGCGGAAGTTAGGCGTTAGTCGGTGGCTGAGAAGAAGTCCAGCGTCAGGCATTGGTCGAGTGGAAATACGGCGTCTGTTCGCAGACGGGTAGAAGTTTGGTGTTAGTTTAATGATGGTCGGTGGTCCGAAGGTGGTCAAGGAGGATTATGGTGGCAAGAGAACTCTAGTTTCTCTCTCTTCCTTCTTTTCCTTCAATTTCTTAATTAGGTATCTTTCCATGAGGAATGAGGGATCTATTTATAATTTCTGAGAGTGATATGATCAGTAAATAGAAGGGAGATCTAAGGTATATTGGGAGTGGTTTGAATGGACAACCAATATTGATCCCCTTGATCATTGATCGTTTACTGGACATTTGAATGTCTTAATGATATAAGAATTTGGCGATCTTAGTCTCGTTGGATTCATCTCGTCAAGCCACTTGATTCGATTGTAAGAATGTCACGTTTGGAATTTGTTTGATAATCTAAATTATGGTTTGAAACTTCTAAAGGTGCTTTTACTCTTCAATTTGGATCCATTTAGGCTCATATTGAGTTGAATTTGGTGTTCAGTTCGATAATAAGTTTGCTAATATCGGAGTTTAGATGGTCCCAGATTAAATTTTGAAAGCTTTTAACTCAATTTTGTCTTGAGATTTGAGCCCAATAAAGATAAATTTTTTTTATGATTATCATTTTTTTTTTAACATTTAGGTCAATAAAGGCAGACTCATACATGCATCGTATATATATATAATTTGAACTCAAAATCTCTTAATTAGTAATCTATAAATATATATCAGCTATTAATAACTATTAGTTGTGATGTGGTTAATCCTCCCAAGACTTAAGATTATGGTGCTGCATGTATGAGTCTGTGTTGTTGTTCCTTTGCTCCTCCCCTAAAAGCCCGCACCAGTACCTTGACTCTTTCTCCGGACCAGTTGCTCCCTTCGGACGCCATTCTTACTCCTTGGATTCCATCCCTACTACAATCAATAAGTTGAACACCCTCCCTTTTCTTCTTTGCACTCTCCATGGACAGAGGAATCTCACTCTCAATCTACTGTCACTCATCCCTCGTTTTCCTTCTGCTCATCTCCCACCTTCTTCCATGCGCTCATCTCAGCCCCATCGCCATCACAAACCACCATGAAATCCAACTGCAAACCTACATTGTTCATGTTCAAGAACCAACAAGCACCACCAAGCTCAGCATCGAACACTTGCAGGAGTGGCACAAATCCTTCCTTCCCAACGCTTCCCTTGATTCCGGCGAGCCCCGCATCATCTTCTCCTACCATCACGCCATTTCAGGCTTCGCTGCCAAGCTCACTCGCCAAGAACTTCTCTTTATGAGTTCAAAGGACGGCTTCATCCTCGCCCATACTGACAACCCGACCTTTCTCTTCACGACGTACACCCCTGACTTCTTAGCCCTCAAGCACTGGGGCGCCCTCTGGCCAGAGTCCTCTCATGGCCAAGGAATCATCATTGCTGTAATCGACACCGGAATTCACCCCAATCATCCATCTTTTGATGACAAAGGGATGCCGGAGCCTCCCATCAAATGGCGAGGCCGCTGCGATCTCCCGCCGCCGGCCACCTGCAACAACAAGCTCGTCGCCGCGACGGCATTCAAGGGCCGGCTGAAGCCATCTCCGGTAGACAACTCCGGGCACGGCACTGTAACAGCAAGCATTTCAGCCGGAAGCTTTGTGCACGGCGCTGAGGTTCTCGGAAAAGCTAATGGCGCTGCTTCTGGCACCGCGCCAAAAGCTCACCTCGCGATTTACAAGGCTTACTATAACAACCATGGAACTGAAAGCGACCTCCTTGCTGCCATAGATCAGGCCATTGCCGACGGAGTCGACATCCTCTCCATGTCCATTGGGCAGGAGCCGAAGCCTTTATATGAAAGCAGCGTGGCCAAGGCTTCGTTTTCAGGTATCCGAAAGAACATCTTCCCCTGCTGCGCTGCAGGGAACTTTGGCCCTGTTGCAAGCATTTTGTCGAACGATGCGCCATGGTGTCTGACGGTCGGAGCAGGCACTGTTGACAGAAGGATTCGAGCTACGGTTAGGCTTGGAAACGGGATGGAAATGGATGGAGAATCTTCATACCAAACTGAAACTTTCGATTCCAAGCTGATGCTGCCGCTAGTGTTTCCAGGAGAGACGGGAAAGCCTGAAGAACTACACTGCCAAAGTGGTTCCTTGAGAAGCTCCATTGTTTCGGGGAAGATAGTGCTGTGCGTGACTGATGAATATGACAATCTTGAAAGGAGCGAGACTGTGAAAACTGCCGGTGGAGCCGCCATGATTGTTATGAACAGACTTGCTGATGGATACACGACGAATGCCGATCCACATAGCATTCCAGCCTCCCATGTTAGCCATGCGGATGGGCAGAAGATCCAGGCTTATATCCGCACAACGCTGAATCCTGCAGCAACGATTATCTTCCAAGGAACTCAATTTGGCGCCCGCCCAACTCCCGCAGTGGCCTCATTCTCCTCTAGAGGTCCGAGCTTCAACAATGGTGGAATACTGAAGCCCGATGTCGTCGCTCCTGGTGTTAACATTCTAGCAGCATGGCCAACCGAAGTTGGGCCTAAGAAGCAAGGCAAATCGGGTTCAAGCTTCAACTTTGCAAGCGGAACCTCCATGGCCACACCACATGTGTCAGGGATTGCCGCCATGTTGAAGAAGCTTAAACCTGAATGGTCTCCTGCAGCGATCAAATCAGCAATCATGACAACTGCCTATGTACGAGACCGGCATGGAAATGCCATCACAGATCAAAATGGAGGGGGCAATGCGAGCTTCTTTGCAATGGGGGCAGGCCATGTGAACCCTGCAAAGGCCAGTGATCCAGGTCTTGTTTATGACTTGCAGTGGCAAGATTACATCCCTTACCTTTGTGGCCTTGGATACACAAATGATCAAGTGATGGCTGTTACTAAAGACATTACAGATTGTTCAAACATCAAAAAGATTAATGCTGAAGAATTGAATTACCCATCGATTGCGATGAATCTCAGAACAGGAGAGTCGAAGACAATCATCCGCATGGTGACAAATGTTGGTGAAGCAAGTTCCAAGTACAAGTTACAAATTGAGGAGCCTAATGGAGTTTCCATTCATGTTAATCCCGAGACCCTGCAATTCTCCAGACTGCAACAAGTGGAGAGCTTCACTGTAAAGTTTAGTGCTAAGCCCGGTCCTTCAAAGAAAGGAGAAGTCTCAGAAGGATCTCTGACATGGATTTCTGGATGTTACATTGTCAGGAGCTCCATCTCTATATCATTCACTTAATATTTATTACTTTTCGAAATATTGCATGCTAATAAGTAAAACGAGCATCTCAGCCCAAAATCACTCAATTCTAATGTCATTAAGGCGCTTAAATGTCAAAAGGATTATGTATGATCAATGGGGTCAATCTTGAATGTTTTCGACATATGCCGTCGATGCCAATGCCGACGCTCACCAATGAAAAAAATGTTGTCACTCGTCATTGCCAACAATATTTACACTCGCCAACATGAATAAGGTCATTATTCTCAATCAATAAAAATGATAATGCTTGCTAATGTTAACAATGTCATTAATCTCCATTACCAACAATATTGATGCTAACGAATACCAACAAGCTCATCGCCCACCTTCAATACCAACACAAATGCATTCCATTTACATAAGCACTGACATCTACCATTGAAATCAAAATCAACACCCAGCATTTAAACAAGTTCATTTCCCACTACCAATGTCAAAATCAACACATGTCAATGTCAATAAAGTTGATGCTCGTCGTCACCAATAATGTTGTACCTACAATCACTAATAAGGTTGATTTATGCCATAGACATTATTCCTATGCCCACTAATGCAAATAAGATTGTACCCACCATTGAAAATAACATTAATGCTTGTCAATGCCAATAAAATCAATATTAACCATTGACATCAACTTTGATACCCATTGTAACCAATATGATCATACTCATCATTGACACTAATGCATGTGGTTGTTAATAACACCAATAAGGTTTCCACTCTTCAGCAGCACTAATAATAATATACATCAATACCAAATAAGGTTATCATATATCATCACTAAAAACTTGGATGCATGTTGATGCCAGCAAGGTCATTGCTCTCCATTAACAACAACATCGGTGGTTTTCAATGCCAAGAGGATTATCATTCACTGTTGATAACCTCATTGATACTCATCGATGCCAATAAATTTTGCCACATATAATTGTGAACAGCACTATTATTCATCATTGCTAATAAGGTTTATGCATGTCATCAATATGAACAACGACACTCAGCAATGGCAACACGTCTATTGACTTTCATCTCTAAAAACATTGATGCTCTCTATCACCAATAAGATCAATACACTTTATTATCTCCAGCACTAATGCATGGCATCTCTATTAAGGTAAATGCTAATCTTTTCAGTCACTAGCCTCCTCTCTTATGATAAGAACAACTGAATATACCACTAATGATCTCTTAATGATAACATCAATGCCTCAAGGTTTTTCTAACTTCTACCATGGAAGCGATCATTCATAGTTCATGTGTAGTACATCATATCAAATCCATCTCCATTTTAGTAAAGGGCATCATTTGTAACTTATGATTCAAACTAATAGATTCATTTCAATTTAGTTAAGCTCAATGATTACAAGTGGTTAACAAAATTTCTAAATAGATGAAGAAATGTGTTAGTTATCCTAAGGTTGATCAATTTTCGAAAACATGACACTTTATTATAAATTTTCTCATATTCCACTAGAGGCATCATGTTGATTACTGGTTGACTTTTTTTTATTTTTCATTATTATGGGTTTTGGCTTATTCTCCAATTTTGATAACTCATCTTGCATGAGTCTTTTGGTTTTCCAGTGATCATAACTCTTTAATTCTTTGTAGCTAGCTTCTATATATTACTCTTCTTTTAAGTTTTGTATCACTTTTCCTAAAGCTACTACGTACTGGATTATTTCAAACTTATTTTGGATAATATTTACATATTATTACTTCATATAAAAATTTGTCATGATTTTTGTGAGGCATTTTGTTGGGCTCTAAGTGAAGATAAAAACTCAACTCATGTAGGTTTGTCATGTTTCCAGTACACCACATATTTAATATTTTGCTTAGCACAATTGGGGATGAAGCGAGCTAATGTTGAAAATTCATGGCGGTAGAGTGAGAGCATTTTTTGTCCTAGCAATGCATGGATATCAAGCACATAAATACATAGTTGGAGAGAGAGTAGAAAAATACCAAAAAAAATGTATGTGGAAAATCCAAAAAGGAAAATACCATACAACCTCACCCGGTGAAAAGATTCCACTAAATCTGAGGGAGTTACAGAGGTTGACTCATCCCTTGACTTGGAAGCAATTAAATTACATTTTTTGGTACTCAAATGTTTGTAATGACCTTGGTCGGATGATAGAGGTCAAAAGTCTAGTGACAGTGACTGCGAGAAGGTGTAGCAGAGGTCAACAGTCGGGTGGAGGTTCGACAGTGATTAGTGGTCTGGTGGAAGTCCAATGACTCTCAGAGTGTAAGGCCCCATAATCAAATTTGAAAGAATATCTATTTTATCTTCTTAATTAATCAATCAGAGCTTCTATAAATTATTAAAATAATTAATCTATATATCAAGTGAAAGAAACTAACAATTATATATCTCAAAATATTTCACTTTATTTATTATTCCAAAATTAAAATATAATAGTTATGATATTAGTATAATTACTATTTTATCACAAACTCCTAACTAAAAAAGAATAAGAGAAAATACAAAAAAATTAAATAAAAAAAAAAAACTTAGAATCTCTATCAATCTCGCTCCAACTATTTTATCCCTTTCCTGACTTGAAATCATGAAAATCTACATAATGAGCATAAAATCTCAACAAGTAACTAAAATTCTTTCATTTCTTTCAAAGTGAGGCAAAATAATCAATATGTATATTCGACTCTGGTCCATATCAATCATCACCTAATATGAGCAAAAATTTCAAAAATTAATAATAAAATTAATATGATCAATAAGGTCAAAAGAGATAAATCAACTATCAAACTATAAGAAAAATCAATAAAAATGGCTCTATAAGTCATGCTAGTATGATATGCTATGATATATTAATATTAATGTCAATATGAGTTCAATAATATTTATCAATTAGTTTAATGTACTATCAGGCAAATATCATCATGATTATAATTATGAAAAACACATCAAGACATGCAGCTTTAATGTGGTGTTTCTTCCTTACATATGTTATATGTCATAGCAATCAACTTATATTAATCATTTATTTTCATAGATGACTTTCAATAATCATTTAAGAGTCATCACCCTCTACCCATCGACATGATACAATCAATCGGTTACAAGCTACAACTAGGATTATACCACTAACATTTTATTTCAAGGAAACCACCCTCCTATGAATGTCGTTATATTTTAAGAGCTAGCCCATATTTCAATATAGTATTAAGAGGTAACATTCCATGCTTACATGAAAATGTTATATTTTTTATATGTAAGTCAATATCATATATGAAATATAATAATAAAAAAGTAGAAAAATCTATCAAATTTATCTACTATGCATTTACTTTAAAAAATCATAACTTTAACTTTAACCGGTGAAAATTCAATATGTTATAGTCAAAGTGCTCATATTGACAATATTTATCACATACCAAAAGTTATGCGATGAAAGTTTTATCAATACAAAATTATCCTTATTTTTTTGTAAGAAAAAATTATAAATTTAATAAAAAAAATATCAAAACTATAAAATTATTAAAATAAAAAATAAGATAATGGTTCCTTCTACTGAGACGAGCAAATCTCCCAACATAATCAACAGATAAAAATCGCTCTACGACCTCTAATTCTAACATTTCCTCACATTTTGTCTAATTTCTATTCTTACTCTATGTTAGCCAAATTAAGAATGAAAAATAGAGTTTTTAATTTATATAAGATAATGAGTTAAGATATTTTAGTAAAATAATAATAAATATTTATATAATTATATAATTTAATTAAATTTTTTATATAAAATTTATATAAATCCTTTTGTGATTTTAAAATTTATAAAAAAAAATCTATAAGATAGTTTATTTTCTTAAAAAAATTTGGTTAAGTTGATTTGCAAAACGGACACATAATAGTCTCAAAATCCCCACTTGTACCAAAAAGTGTCAATTTCTTAAGGATTTGTACTAGTATCAAAAAATTACAAAAAATATATTATAATTAAAATATAATAATATATAACTTATGGGAAAGATATTTTATGATTTGGACTTAAATTAATTATTGAAAACTTATTTGTCTAGGTCAAAATATAGGCTATTACAATTTCTCCATCTTTATAAATATCTCCCTCCACATTTTCAAACATAAAAATAATTAAATTAATTAATTAAATAACATAAATTTATCAAAATAAATCAATATAATTCAAAACCTAGAAATTTGTTTAAATTCCTTTTAAAATTAGTATTGATCACTGAATTATCATTCATTGCATTCAATAAATCATGAATTTACTCAAGCAATCACACTCACATATATCATTCAATCACTCAAATAGCATGTAATAATTATCAATCAATCAATTCAAATGTAATTATAACTTGAATAAAAGTTTTATTAGTAGATCCTTTAAATGCATCGTTATCACTCTATTAGATCAAACTATAAACTCTAGGTTGTACGGGTGGCAGTGTTAGTGTAGTAGTATGTCCACTATGACTTTCAACCACTCTTCTTCCATCTTTCCTGCTCACATACCCTTCATTGTATTCTCCAAATCTCATGGTCTTCTATCTATACCCTTGTCTATCTTGCTTCCCTCTAAATCTGGATCTTATCAATTTTCGTTGTCGTGGACAATCAACCATCTGGCGTCCTCACTGCCCACATCTAAAGCTCTGTCCAATAATCAGAAAAATTGATCAACTATGTCTCTTACCACATAAAGCACACTCCAGTATACTCCCCACATTGGACTCAGATGCAGATCTGCCCATATTGTCAGAAAATCTACCCATCTTTTTACTGCTCTCTCTCTCCTAGTTATGTCATATCATAATCTCTTCTTGTTCATATCATATCTAAATAATGGAATAGTCAAGTCATTCTCCAATAGTCTCGCTCTCTCAACTAGCTCCAAAACCTCATAAATCTTCAACGGTATAAGTGGATGTCTCAATTCATCACATAGTCTTCTCAGGAATATGTAACATTTAACCTTATTATATTGATCAATTCTAGTGCGTACATTGCTAATATAGTAAAGTCTAGGTCATATTCTTATACTCCGATCTTATGACAGCCTTCTGTATCTATTATTGGGTTGATGGAGGTACGAACTAATCTCTAAAAATAATAAGATACTCTTCCCAAGAAATCTTTACATTCATCTTACCCTGAAACTTCTCCCTTTATTGTCATTTCCACCATCTCTTTATTTTTCCTTCAAATAAGAATACTACAATAGGTACTTTTCAATTCTTTGGGTATTGTATGTTATCAAATATGTTATTATCCTTAACAACCAGTCTTCAGCTGCTTGTGGTCTTACAACACTCTTGAACAATGGGGACTTCTTATGAAAATAAAACATATGTAGATGCTTGTCCCCTTCTGACTCCTTATGAATACCAATCTACTATCAGCATCACTCATAAATGTGCAAGTAGGCAAGATAGTTGCATCAAATTATCAAAACTTATTGGAGTCATTGCAGCACTCTGCCCATTATGTACATCTTGATTAGTAGGATATATCATTCCACTGATAAAATTCTTATTCCTAATCAATAACACACAAACTCAAGATGTATACATATGCAATTCAATCAAATGCATAAATGAAAATATATACTACCCAACTTTTACCCCACTCATAACCAACTCCTATAGCTATGATTACATTTCAATTCTTTCAATAATTTTGCTCTGATACCAATTGTAATACCTCATAATTAAATTTAGAAGAATTATCTATTTTATCTTCATAATTAATCAATCATAGCTTCTATAAATTATTAAAATAATAATTTTATGTATCTAGTGAAAGCAATTAATAATTATATACCTTAAAATATTTTACTATATTCATTTATCATAAATTAATATAAAATAGCTAGAAATAAGGAAAAAATATAAATAAAATTTAAAGAAAACTTAAAGATCTCTATTAATATCACTCCAACTGATCTTGACTCCTTTCAAGACCTGAAATCATAAAAATTCATATAATTAGCATAAAATTCTAGTAAGTAACAAACATTTTATTATTAATTTCAATACAAGACAAATAAATTAATATGTATGTATGGTTCTAGTCAATATCAATCGTCACTTATAATATGAGCAATAAAATCTCAAAAATTAATAATAAAATTAATATAATCAATAAAATCAAAAGAGATCTATCAACTATTGAATTAAAATAATTAGTAAAGAAGACTATATCACTCTATAAATCATGCTAGTATATTATGATATGTTGTATCAATAGTAATGTTATTTTGAGTTAAGTTATATCTATCAATCAGTTTAAAGTACTAACAAGTAAATATCATCACAAGTATAATTATGAAAAGCAAGGTAGGACATGTAGCTTTAAGGTGATGTTTTCTTTCTTACATCTATTATCTATCATAGCCATCAATCTGTCAAATCTTATCTTATATTAATAATTTATTTTTACAGGTGACTTTTAATAATTATTTAAGATTCATCATCCTCTATCCATCGGCATAATTCGGTGAATCAGTTACAAATTACAACAAGGATTACACCACTAACATCCTTTTATTTAAAAAAAAATTCGTTGGCCCACTCTTCTACTCAGGATGTTATGTATTAAGAGCAAACTCATATTCATTATATTATTAACATCTAGCCTTTCTTACATGTAAATGTTATATTTTTTATACCATGTAAGTCAATATCATAAATGAAATGCAAAAATAAAAAATACAAAGAAATTTAGTAAATCTATCTATTATGCATTTACTTCAAAAAATCATAACTTCAAGTTTAATTAGTAAAAATTCAATATATTACAATCAAAATGCTCATAATGACATCTATCATAGACCAAAAGTTATGTGCTAAAAGTTTTACTAATACAAAATTATCATCATTTTTCAGTAACGAAAATATAAATTTGATTAAAAAAATATCAAAAATACAATATTATTGAAATAAAAAATATGATAATGATTCCTTATAATGAGACAAGGAAATCTCCCAACAAGATTGATGAACTAAAATCACTCTATGACCTCCAAATATAACTTTTATTTTCTCTCTCCTCACATTTTCTATCTATATTCTATTCCTACTACTTATTATAGCTGAATTAAAACGGTAAAAGGAAATTTTAATTTATAGAAGATAATGGATTAATATATTTTAGTAAAATAATAAAATAATATTAATATAATTATATAATTTAGCAAATTTTTCAATATAAAATTTACACATTTTTTTAATTTAAAAAAGCGTTCAGGGATCGGGCGATGGTCTGATGATAAATGGGTGGAAGTCTGGTAAAGATTGGCGAGCAGGCCAGTCATGTTTAAACAAGATCAGAATTTCACTATTTTGCTTAGGCTAATTTATTAAATTTTTTTTCTAAGTCAAACCAAAATCAAGCTTTAATCAATCCTAGCTAACTTTATACTTGTTATTAATAATTTAAATATATAATATTATCATAAGAGAAAATCAGATTTATATATTTCAATTAAAAATTGGCATAGTAGATTAAATATTATTTAAGTTGTTCGATGAAATTTAAATAAATAATAAGATATTATTTATATTAATCTAACTATTTATTTGATATTTTCTTCATACATATTCATCTACCAATATACATAATTTTTAAAATATATAAATATAAGATATTTGATTATTTAATATAGAATAAATTATCAAATTAAAAATTAAGTCATTATTGTATTTTCAACAAGCTGCTTATTAAACAAGAAATAAATATTTTCACGAATAAATAAGCAAATGAGTCATATTCACATTTATTTATCTATATGATAAAAATTAAATTTCTATATAAATAAACAAAAAATAAATAAATATTATATAAATAAAATGTATTTATCCGGTCTGAGGCCTATTTGGAGGTCACCAACAAGGCAAACAGCCAAATAGCCAATTGCATAAGAGCTCATGACCAATTACTGAAACTTGTTCATTAATTTTGTATTCTTCTTCAAGACAGATACATAAAGCCCTCCCAACGCAATGCCAATCAAAATGGCCACTTTTTTGAAGCCAATGAAATGACCATTAGCACACCTCAATGATTAGAAAAACTATTATGTGCAGTGTCCGAATGAGTTTGAAGGACAATCCGAACGCGCCACATCATCCAATACACAATACATTAGATGACATGACGCATCCAGATTAACCTCCGGACAAATTCGAAGTGCACACGTAATAATCTCTCCAATGATTATGGGGAGATGCACTCAAATTCCTCCTCATCAAGGAGGCTGAAGTGTCACATAATATCTTTTTTTGAGACATTTAGATTAATTAAAATAAGCTCATACACCCATCACATACATAAAATTTGAATCCAATACCTCTTGATTGATAATCAAAACCCCAAATTAATGAACCAAAGTGAACTACGTAATACCATATAACATCAAATAAATCTATAAACACTCATTTCAGGTAAAGATTCATGAGATAATGGTTTAAAATTTAAGTCTTAAAAGAATATTATTTTTTTACAATCATGTATGTAAATAAAATATTTTATCATTTTATAATTAATCATTTAAAAGAAAATTATATGATCTCATAAGAAGCAGCTCTCCAATACTGCCGATTCTCCGAAGTAAATGCATAAAAATCTTCACCCAAAACTTCTCTTTGTGGGTGTCAAAATGGGCGAATTATTACGTTTGGACATCTGATATCCGAACATCCAATCCAGACCTGCCACATCACCCAAATACATCGGGCCCGGTGCATTTTGGTGACGTGGCGAGTCCGGATTGGTGTCCGGACACCAGACGTAATAATTTGCCGTCAAAATGTGGGCCGATTTTAATCCGAGTCAAAATTAATTCGACCTGAATCCAATGAATATGAATCCGACCCATTTAATCAACAGATAAAAACCAATACTTAGTAACCGCACAGGATTCAGAGAATAATTACTTCCTTAAATAATCCCAAGATAGCCAAGTATCTCCATATACAGGAGGAAGGAATAGGAGCCAACGTTGATCAAATGAGAATAAAGCAACAGAAGTTGAAGAAAGAGTTAAGCGTACTTAGAAATTAGTAGCTTATCAACCAAATCTTTCAGTGCCGGTCTGTTTATTCAGGATATGTGGCTGTGCAACTTTGGCTTCATTTTTAACAACAAAAGTAAGAGCACAGAAGAAAACCTCACTGAAGGCTGTGGCTTAATTTATGAGAGGCAGGAATATGCCAGAGCCTTCTCCTCAGTCAGCTCCTCAGCCGTTGCATCCAGCTTCTTCCTTGAGAATTCATCAATTGTAAGTCCTGAAAAGGAACGAGCAAGAAGCATAAGAAAACTAAAGAAACCTGGCTTAAAAAACAATAATAAATAAACACAAGCAGATTAATGCCTGAAAATTACGTTAAAATTATAGACATAGGTTTCGTTTTGGACGACTTTCTTACTGCTTCGTAAAGCATCTTTTTAAGATAAAAAAAAATTATTTTTTTTCTAAAAAGTTACTTTAAGAAGCAGTAAGAAAGCAGTCCCAAACGAAGTCATAATCTCCCGCTTACAGAAGCTGTTATTTTTAAGGGATTTCTGGGTAGCAAGATTTTAGCAAATCTTTCCGAAAACTAACTAACCAACTTCTCCCGAGGATGATTGATGATGAAAAGAATAATAAATACTACATTATGTATAATATTGGAGGTAAACACACAAATTTTAGAATTATTGAATTTGTGTCGATTACTGTGTTGGGATTTGGTGAATTTCTTTCTGAGAATTTTGTGGAGATGACTAGTAGAAGCCGTAGGCTAATTGATAGCTACCTAGATGGTGCAATGACCTTAAGAATGCAGACTTGAAGAATATATTCATAGAAGGCACTTGATACGGCAGGGCTGGATAAGAAAAGAAAGGAGGTTAAGGGGGTGGGGGCCCAGCAGGGAATTTATACATTTATATTAGGAGGAAATCATCTAGGGTTTGGGAGAGAAGATTCTCCTCTCAAAAGATGATCGATTGTATCTTGCTTCTTGTTATTTCATTTCCTAGGAATAAAATTCTGTTATTTTGCTAAAATTTACTATTGTTCTCTGATTTTTGTGGTTCAAGACGTATCAACACTCTTAGAAAAGATATATGAAATTTAGGTTTATGATTTCTTATCGATGGTGTTCAGCTCAAACATAGAAGCATGATGTTGTTTTAAATGAGATACTAGACAAATAGATGCTGATGAAATATATATATTGAATACCCATGAGGATGCCTATTGTGATAGAAGACACTAGAAGGTTTGAACAAAGATATGTGCTCCACATTGAGGAAATATCCTGAAGGTGAAAAAGAGGAACGAAAAATAGCCTCAAATCAGCAAATTGCAATTGGATAAGTCATATTATTATAGATCATGCTAATGAAGCCATCTCAAAATTAGGAAAGATATGTATAGAGTATCTTGTAGAGAAAGTCTTCGAGATGTTTGAACTAGAAAAGCAATAAAATGCTCACATGCAATAAATATGCATGTAATATACACATTATTGTATTTCAAATGTTACTTTGGGTTAATTATTAATGGCAATTAACTTTCAACATTATATTAAAATATTTTAATAGGTTATTAGTAGCACTAAACTATTGTACAGAGTTGTTTTACAGAGTTGATGAAGAAGACTTCTATAAGTCCTTGACACAAACTCCTTGACGACCTCTTACAATTAGGGTTATAAGGAATAAAGAGAGCAGCAAACATTTCGTAGAGTGTAATGTTCACACTACGAAAGACGAGAGAGATGCAGGGAAGATAAAAGTATTGACAATTCTATGCCCTCTTCTAGTCATTCCATGCCCTTCTCCAATCAATTGAAGGAGCCTTTGCAATTGTTAGGGAGTTAAATAAGAAACTAGATGCTCCGAGTTATTTTATTCAAGAATTTATACATAGGAAGAAGGAGAATAAAGGTGTTGATTGTCACACACAAGTGAGCGGAAAGAAGGATAGTTTGGAAGGAGGGCTTAGTGTTGATAATGGCATTCATATTGAGGTTGAATATGATGTGATAAATGAGACTAAAGTTGTTACTCATTGCTCCATGTTATAAACAATGCTGACACAGCTCTTAAATTTTGAAAGGACCAGGTTGAAGAATAAAAAAGATTTTATAGAACCATCTGGCAAGAGGCATAAACTAATAGATCTATGTGCTATTATCCACCCCACCTAACTGATGAAGAGCACTTGTCTTTATTTAGGGTTTGGATGGCAAGATTAGAAGACAACTATTAAAAAAGGGGACATTGAAGTGGATTATTAAAGTGCAATGTAATTTTATCACAAATTAGCTAAATAGCAAGATAACTATTCTATTGGTCTATTGATTTTATGATAACTTTTTAATTATAGGAATGCATTATGGTGCTCATGTAGTTTTAATCTTTTTATAGTACTAAGATGCTTTATATTACCTAATAAGGGAGAAAATATAATGCTATCCTATAGATTAAATGTTATTATCATAACTGAATTATTCAACCAGTATTGCAAACCCAAAATATCTACTTATAATAAGTTGAAGAACTCCTTCAGGTGCCTTGAAACTATGCTAGAGTATGTTATAGGGACTAAAGAGAAGTTATTGAGGTCTTAGATGTAGACTCATATATTATCAAATAACAAGAAAGAAATTTATGAAATAATAATGTGAGATCTCACTGTCAATAAAAATCATGAAGTTATATGACCATGAAACCTCTATTATTGTAATGCAAACATTGCAATCAACGATGAATTTATTTTGCTAATGCTTCCCTACGTTACTAGAATTTTTAGAGATAGAGAGAGATGAGGGCTGTTGTGGGCTTGGGTTGTAGTTGGAGTTATGAGTGGAGAAAAAAAAACAAATATGAGAGGTTGGCTGTAAAAGGGGTGGATTGAACTGTTTGCTATCTCTAAGGAAGCAGAGATAGGCTCGGCACAGTGAAGTTGGATCGGCTAGGAGGGAATATAGTGGAGAGGATCGGTTGAAGTTCTACTGCTGGGTTGGGTGATCACTCAAGCGTGAGGAGGGACTTGCGTTGTAGTTGGATCGGAAGTACCGATGGGAGTCGAACAGGAGGTCGTTGTAGTTGTTGGAGTTATGAGTGGAGAAAAAAAAAACAAATATGAGAGGTTGGCTCTAAAAGGGGTGGATTGAAGTGTTTGCTCTCTAAGGAAGCAGAGATAGGCTCGGCACAGTGAAGTTGGATCGGCTAGGAGGGAATATAGTGGAGAGGATCGGTTGAAGTTCTACTGCTGGGTTGGGTGATCACTCGAGCTTGAGGAGGGACTTGCGATTGTAGTTGGATCGGAAGTACCGATGGGAGTCTAACAGGAGGTCGGGGGTTCGGTTGTTGTGGATGGGATGCTAGAGAATCAGATGGAGGGACTTGCTCATGTGGGTGGAAATCGGAATAGGGATTGAGCCAGTCGGCGGGCTCTGGTGCAGACGGCGTGAGGTTCACGAGCAGGTTGAGGAGGCGGGATCAGGGTGATTCGCGGTTGGTTTCGGCCTAGAGAGGGAGGAGGATGTGAGCTGGAGTTAGAATAGAGAAAAGCTGCTCGATTGGCATCTGGTATGTGGAGATCGGGCAGGGATCGACTTGTAGATGGAGAAGGTGTTGACTGGTTGAAGTGGAAGGGGTGGTGTGGGCTTCGAATTGATCGATGACTGTGTGTGGCTCGTGAGGTTAGAACAGCCTGGAGTCGGGTAAGCTTCCTGGAGGAGAACGACACAGTGGGTTGGCTTCGGCGTGAGGATGGATCGGCGACTGCTGGGGTCAATTCGGTCGAGTGTCGACTGGAATCGAAGCGGGAGTCCGATCAGGTGCAGAGGATTCTGTATGAGGTTATGAGGTAGGGAATCAAATTTGGCTGGAGACGGGGTTGACGTGACACTGTGAAGGATTGTGAGAGGGAGTGTGAGCTCGAGCGTGGAAGGAGTTGTTTGGCTGGGAGCTCGTGAGCATGGAATCGAAGAAATTGGATGTGCGAGTAGACTGATCCAGGAAGTGGGATCTAACTAAGTAGGATTTCTAGGAGGAGACGTGAACGACACCAAGATTTTGGGTATTTAAACGAGCTGATGTAGCAGTCTGAGGTGATGTGGAGGTCAACAAATATATTTTGTTTTACCTACTATGTTATGATGCACCAACACTTTTCCTCAAACACCGTATCCGACACGTGTCGGACACGCCGAAAATGTGTCCGATTAAAAAATATTAAATACAAATTGGACAAGCATATCTTAAATATTTTCTATTTTTTTTAAAATATAATTTCTTGTATTTAGCGGGATTTAAACTAAATTTCTTATTTCCTATCTACAACACCAAATCAACGCCCGCACTTAATACCCAATCATCGAATATTCTTATTTTCATTTCTTTTTGGCAATGAAGGTGTTTTCATCTCCTCTCTCAATGACTGATAAACAGCATCAACGTCCGACTCTCGACATCCTAATACTAATCATTTTAAGCACAAATTCTAGTTAAATGACTTATTATTTTCAAATTATTTTTAAAATTATACTTATTTAATTTTTATACACTATTTTTTAAAAATAAAAACTATAATACATATCCAACCCGTGTCCGTATCCTATATTTTTAATAACTGACGTGTCCCGTGTCGGTGTCGTGTCACCGTGTCCGTGTCTATGCATCATAGCTACTATGAAATATGAATAAGGAGCTTTTGTAATCAAATACAATATTCAATAAATTAATTCTTCAAGTTCGAAAAGCCCTAGCTTAACTCTTTCTCTCCCCTCTATTTTCTATCTTTAGTTGGCCCTTCTATCTCTCTTTCTTCCTCCAAATCAAAAGCATCAAGGAGAAGAAAACCCATTTCAATAAGGATTATAAGACACCAAGGAAGAAGTCATCTACAAAGCACTTTAAGTTGGTTAAACCCTAATTCTCTTTAGTTTACAATCCATACCTTGTGCTTGTTAGGTTGTTGGCCAAGTGTTTCACCCGCATTACAAGTTTGACCAAATTGTTCAAGGCTCCAATGTCAATAATTTGAGAGCTTCAGCGAGTTCCATAAACTGTAGTTTCACCCTATTTATTTTTATCTTAGCAAGGAATAATCTCTCTTTAATTATCATTTAGTAAGGATAATTATTTTCATAGGTGTGCAAGATTAAAGCTCTCTAAAACTTCAACCGGCTATTTTTAGTGTTCTAAATACACACATAAAACTAGCCCAAGAGCATTATTTATAGTCTCATTCCTTAAAATAACTAGAAATTAGCATCTCTTAGTGAAATTGGATCATCGTGTCCGACAAATGACATTATTTTCTAAGTTTAAATAGAGCATTCGCATTTCAACACAAATTATACACTATCATGCACAGCTAAAATTAATCAATTAAGTCATAATAGCCAAAACAGAAACAGCATAGTGCACATACCCTGAACAATAGACCACTCTCCATTAAGGCTTGTCACAGGGAAAGAATAAATTAGTCCAGCAGGTACATTGTAAGATCCATCAGAGTAGACACCCATGGAGACCCAAGTTCCCTGCATATAGACAAGAAGAGCCACCAGAATTAATATCTTGAGCATGTGCACCAGAATTCATAAGAAACAAACAAATAAAATGACCTCAGGAGTGCCAAGGACCCAATCTCGAATGTGATCACAGGCAGAACTTGCAGCAGAAAGGGCACTGGAGAGCTTCCTAGCTTTGATGATCGCAGCACCACGTTGTTGCACAGTTGTGATAAAATCTCCTCTCAGCCTGTCAAAAGTGCAACTACTTTGGTGATGAAAAGCAAAGAATCCTATTTGATGTCTTTTTAAGGTTCCATTCAGCATAATAGTAACAAGTTATAGAAATTCATGAATCATTCATCATTCATACCATTCATCATCAGCAACAAGTTCACGAACAGGTTTTTCACCATCTTGTGTCTTTACAGTGGCATGGCTGACATCAGGGTACTGAGTTGATGAATGGTTTCCCCAAATAATAACGTTCCTTACATCACTTACTTGAACATTTAATCTCTCCGAAATTTGACCAAGCGCCCTGTTATGATCTAACCTTGTTAAACAGGTTATGTTCTTTTCTGGAATAGATGGAGCAAACTCCTTCAAGATAAGGGCATTAGTATTGGCTGGATTGGCCACAACCAAGACCTGAAAAAATTTTCCATTACATCAGAATAACGTACCAACTATGAATAGAAGTAGCAAAAATGATCTAGCTCCTAAAACATTATCAAACATGATAAATAGTAAACTTATAGCTTGATTTCTTCCAAAAACAAGTTAGTTGACTAAAACTTTTGCTATTAGATAGGCATAAACCTTGCAGTTTTCTTGAGGAAAACCACAAAAAATGATAAAAATCATACTTTTGTATACCTTGCAATTTGCTGCTGCATGTTTTTCAAGTGCTGATGCTTGGGACTTGTAGATAGACACATTCTTTGACATCACATCCTTTCTCTCCATACCCTCTTTTCTAGGGAACCCGCCAACCATCACAGCTATATTGACCCCAGTGCAGGCCTCAGCAACATCAGTTGTTGCAACAACTCCTACAAATTCAACATGCATTACATATTATTGTTAAACTTGATAATCAACAAAATGTTCTGAGAGAGACAAAAAGCCGAAATACTAGGATAACAAAACTAGAGTTTTGGTGGGCAAAATGCTACCCTTGAGGAGAGGGAAAGCTGCATCAATCAACTCCATTTTAACACCATTAAGAGCTTCAGCAGCAGGTGGAATGTCAAGCATGTGCAATATAATAGGCTGGTTAGGGCCAAGCATTACACCCCGAGCAATCATGGGTACAAGCGCATATCCAATTTGTCCTGCAATCAAAGCAGATCATGATTCTGTAACCAATGAATTAATAAGCCTGAACAACATCACAATTATGTTCCTTCTTATGGAATGGATGTCAAGCAGATCAGTTAGGTTTCCATTTTTCACAAAATAAAAAAATAAAAAAAAATAAAATAAAATAAAATAAGCACAATATTATTAGGCACACTTGAATGTGGAAAGAAATAACAAAAGCTGTTAACTACTCAAGAAAAGGACCATTCTTCTTGTATCTAACTTAACGCAAAGTTCAAATAAGGACATTGATGAGCAACAAAACTTCAATCAAAATACTCTAATCAACGCAAATTCACACAACACTGAACAATAGCAATAATGCATGATACCATACGTTAAAGCTTTACAATCAAAATATGCTGCAACATACAACAAAATGAACTCGATGTAATAGTAAATTCAATATATAACTAGGCCTTTTTTATCCTTAGCTTTAATAGAGCTGCCATAGCATGATTTAGACTTATGTAGGACGCAAAATGGAGATCCCCGGCCACGTGTACTCCTGTCCACAGCCGTGCAACCATAGTGAACACTTGTGAGTTAACAGTAACGTTTCCTATTCTTTGGAGTAACTGTATCTCAGTTTGTACAGTGCAACAAACACTCTATCATCCAACTAAGCCAAGTAATAAGCCATACCTAAACTTATGGCTTCCTTTTAAATGTCATGTCACAGCCACTATTTCAAATTCATGACATCATAGTTTGAAAATTGTATCGAGCCTTTGATGTTATAAATGAAAGAAGGATCGTAAAATCAGGCTAATACTACATTCTCGACTACCAAACTTCAAAGTTTTATATGAATCAAAAACTAGGAATGCCCCATTAAGATGACTAGTATTTAATTCATATCATTGCATATGATGCAAAGAAGTATTTCCACTGGGATAAAGCTATCAAATAACCATGTAATTCAAGTCATTGCACAATTATGATGCAAAGAAGTATTTCCACTGGAATAAAGCTTTAAAATAGCAATTGCTTTCTCATAAAAACTACCGGCCCAAAAAGGCAAAAACCCTCGAAATTAAAAGGACAGCATTTTCGATTCATGCAAACCTACTTCCGCAAGGGATATCCTATAAACATAATTTGATCGGGCTCATGATAGATCCATGCAATGCATCTAGCATAGCAGCCACAACCTGAAAGTTCGCGGCAACTCTCACTTGATCAGAAAGTAGGAAATACCCCGATAGACTTTGGGACAAAAAGCCTAATCCTTGATATATCCATGAACATCAATGAGATGAAACAGGAGAAGGGTTGAACAGATGAACCGATTCGGATCTGGAAAGGAAAGGAAATAAGGCTCCCACGAACCTGCGGCGCCGGTAACGAGAACACGAACTGGATCAATCGCCATCGGAGGTATCGAAGTTGTAGCAAGCAAACCTCGAGATCGTGTGCAAATGAGAGAAGGGAAAGTGGATGAAAGCTATAAAGGAGACGACCCAGGTGAACGAATACGGGCAGGGTTGTTTTTATGGTTTTCAATGAGCCTTCTACAACCACGGAAATATTAATTGACGATATCTTTTCGCTGACGATTACGGATATAATGTGATTTTTTTTTTCAAAAATTTTTTTATAGAAACTGCTTGACTTTGCCCGTGAAAAAAAAAAAAAACTGATAATGCTGCCGACATCTCCAACCCAACTGTGCAGGATGGTATGTCATTCGTCATTAGTTTCATTCAAATGCTATATCGTATATCAATTGATAATGTTATCGGCACTGTTCAACTACGTTAATTTTTTATGTTATGAGATTTGTAGAAGAAATGCACGAAAGAGGAGAAAGATAGCTACCTTCGCAGTGAGACGAAGAAGTACGCGAAAGAGGGAAAAAAATAGAGTTCAATTGGATATGAATTATTGCATTGAAGTTCTATACTTCTATTGCATTTTAGAGTGGAAAATGGGCGGTTGGATTGCCCTAGAACAGATTTTGCAGACCCCGCGGTCATTATAGGATTAATGTAAAGAAGTAAGACTTGTTTACTCAAAAACTCGGGCGTTAGAGATAAAAATTTCAAGTCTTAGTTTTTTATATTTTACCAAGATCTAGCATTGTATTAGGGAGAAATTTTATAAAGGAGCGTACCTGATTCCGAATTTATCAGAACGAGCAAATTTATTTTTTTAATTTAGAAAGGAGCCAACTCGTCAAATCAGTTAGTGTAGACTGATTTTTGTGAAAGAAAAAAAAACTCTAAAAGTTTTGGCATATTCTTCACAGTTGTGTAGAAAACGCCAAAAGTTTTGGCATGTTTTTCACAACTCTGTACATAACGCTGAAAAGTTTGGCATATTCTTCGTAACATATGTGAAACCCTTTAAGTAATAGAAAGTCTAATTCTTAAACATCAGTCGCATTTTGGTGTAACGGCTGAAATTTTTAGAAGAAACTCAACAGTTAAGCATGTTCATGGCAGAGCAATTCTGAGATGGGTGACCAACTAGGAAGTTATACCAACAAGACAAAATTGTGAGGCTGTTAGGCCAAAGCGGACAATATCTCGATAGTTAAGAATTTGGGTTATTACAAATGGTATCAAAGCAATACACCAGCCGAAAGATGGGAGCTAAGTGTCATACAAGATAAAGTGCTACATCATGGGAGCCACCTCTTGAACCCTGTATGGTACAAAGTGTTACATGACGGGAGCCACCACTTGAACTTGTAGGGGCCACCTCTAAAGTTCTATCTACCTGATGAATGATTATGGGATGCAGATGCTAACGAGGACGTAAATTACTTAAGTGGGGGAGATTGTGAAACCCTGTAAATAATAGAAAGTCTAACTCTTAAATATCGAGGCGCCTTTTGTTGTAACTATCAAGGCGCCTTTTGTTGTAACAACTGAAATTTTCGTGAGAAACTTCGCAGGTAAGCGTGCTCATCCCAGAGCATGGGATGGGTGACTAACTGGGAAGTTACATCAACAGGACAAAACCATGAGGCTCTTAGTCCAAAGCGGTATAAATACATTTATGTTAATATTAATAATTATTATTATATAACTCTTAATTCATAATAATATAGTAATAATTTAAATGTATAATTATTTCATTAATAAATTGTAATTATAAAATAATTTATTTTAATATATAAGTATATAATATTAAATTTAGTTTGGCCCTAATGATAAGGTTAATTACTTTAATTAATAGAAATATGTAATTATACCTTAAGATATGATTAATTACTAATATATTAATTAATAAAAAAAATTAATTAACAATAGAGTAGTTTCAATTAGTGTGGACTTTGAATTACTCTGTCGAATCTCATTTAGAGCATAAGATCCTTTTTAATTTTCTCTTGTTATTCATTAATATGATGTTATTGCTTGTAGCAACCTATCATATTAATGTCTTGTAAAGATGTAAGGCATAATCAAGCAATTTGTTATTTAAGAGACGCATGTACATTTGAAGTTGATTTGTGAAGATTTCAGTTGTTGCCTTCAAAATATTTTTGGCAATATTTGGAAAGGCTTCAAGGCATCCCCAATAAAGAGAGATTCGACACTGCAAGTAGAAGAATGCATGATTGTATAGCACGGGCTAGAGATAGTTCGTTGAAGCAAAATATGAATGCAAATGAGATTTAAAGTGTTGTATCAATGAATGGTCTGAAGGTGAGGATTGCACTAAGGGTGCCAGTTTGGGTGGACGGGTCGGATTCGAGTTGAACTCAACTTGTCCCGGGTCTAACGAGTCAACTCGAACCCGACCCATTTCAGCAAATAGGTCAGCTTTTTCAACCCAGACCAGACTCACACGAGTTACCAGGTTGACACAACCCGACATGGATTTTTGAAAATAAATAAAAAAAAAACGTGCAGGTTGTTGGGCCACTTCCAGTTTCAATCACTACTCTTGGCGGCGCAACGATAGTGCCAGCAACAGCGCAGCGACAGACAGGCAGCGGCCACGGCAGAATGCGAAGCGACACAGCAATGTGACACAACCTGTCAAGAAATGCACGTGAAGCGATTGCGACTCGACTCTTCGAGTAACCCTGGCAGTCGGGTAAACAGGCACTCGACGCTTTGGGCAGGGAGGGCAGCAGACACGGGCAGAGGGTTTCTGGGTCATTTTCAGGTTAATGGATCAACCCGACCTGATTTTTGAAATGGGTTGATTTGTTAAACTCGAACCTTACTTGTTTCACAAATGAGTCGACCCGAACCTAGATTTTTTTGGGTTGGGTCCGGGTCGGATTTTAGGTCGTGTAAAAAATTGACACCCTTAGATTGTACACTTTAGAATGTTCTTGCTGAGGTAATGAGGATAAAACTCTATAAGATGAGAGATTTTTTGAATACCGTCGGTTGGAAATAAGTTTAAATGAGATTTTAGGAAGATTCTAGTCATCTTGTTATTCCTCATTTTGTACAAATGTGATATCACGAGATACGACGTGACAATGAAGATGACCATTCTTTAGATGTTAAGTGCAGCAACCTAGACCCAGAGCATAATATTTTTTATCATCGTTGGTCTTCTTCTGCCTTGACGATTTCATTTTGGAGTTCTATAAAAATTGGATGAAAGATGTTATACCATAAGGCAAACCAAGAAAGTTTATGAATGGGGAGGACTGATAATACCTTTAGTATGAGTTTGAGTATCACTTCAAGTGCTACCCAACTTAAACCAAGCTCCATACACGTCTGCGTATACTGCTTAGGAAACATGAATATGTAGTACTATGTATGTTTGCTTCTATTATGTTTTCTTCATCTTGCTCATTAAAGTTAATATCTTAGTGGAGAAGAAATATCTCTATGTGGAGTTATCTTTTTATAATTTATATGATGCTAATAGTTTATATATCCTTTTCTGCTTTTAAAGAAGGTTATCTACTTGAGGTTATTGTATTTTTTTGTGATTAAATTTGGTTGTCTAATTTATCAGTATAAACATAATATTATATTCATCCAAGAAATTACATAATACAATTACTATTAATTTATTAAAACTCATATATACTATATTTTAGTAGAAACAATACAAACATAATACACAAAAATACACACTAGCCTCATCTTTGGCGTGGAAGGGCGTATGTGCCAGGGGTATACCTAGTATGGGGTCGTCGAGCTCTCGAATGTATATCTGCCCCATCATCTGCTCCTCCTCCTGTGGTGTTATTGTATCTAGACGTCCTTGTTGTAAAAGTAAATCTTGTTGCGTCAGAGATGTTGAAAAACCCAACGAACCCATCCAATATGGAATGTACATACTAAATGAGGTGTATGGCAGCAGTTTTCCTCTATAGTTGGCATCCTAGTAACCTATAGGAGTTTGAAACTGTACACCAACTGAGTTATAATAATCTTAAAATGGTCCTACATTATGTGGATTTAATCCCCAAGTCATTGAAGGTCCACCCACCTCGAATGCCGATGGCATGTGATGAGCACCAGAACTGACATAAATGGAATCTTAGGTCCCTGGAAGTCCTCAACTCATACATTAGTGCTTGAAGTTCTCCTGAGAGCACCTGAAATTGATCTCATTGACCCCTATGTATTGTCCCAGTGTTTACGTGTCTGCTAAGGAGGGGGCAACAGATGGTCCTCTGCATCGAATGCGTCGTAGTCAATATAGACCGACCCGTGAAGCTTGTCTGCTATCTCAATAACATCATCCACCACTTCTTGCATTGAGATTGCATTCTTCCCTTGGCCATCGGTGAATGGGTGGAGGATATCCTGACTACGTACATAGTAGTTTTCATGTGGTAAAGATTATAATTAGTTTTAGGGATTGAAAAATCGTATAATTGCAGCATTATTCATAGTAAGTTAATGTACCAACAATCTTTCCCCAAATGACCTTGGATATATCATATCAGGAGCATCTGTCAATGGCCTCAATAAGTAAATTGAGGCTCATGATCTATACTATCTCAAATATCTAGTCAGATCCTGATTCCCGCTACCCACAATTATTTATACCAGAGTTATTTACTCCCTTCGATTATTTCACATGTCAATATAGAATATTAAACTTCAAAACTTTTCAACCCGTGGAAACACTAAAAATAATTTCTTTTGACTTGCTTTTATGGAAAACCATATCATATAACAAAATAAAAGCTATCGTGCTCAAATTAAATAGAAAAAAATTTGAAAAAAAAAATATAAAAATATTTTTATAGACCTATTTTATTTTTCTTTTAAGCTGTTGTAAAATATTATTTATATCTTCCAGTATGGTATATTATTTTCTATATTGTATTTGATAATAAAAATAGAAAAATTAAAATATGTAGTTTATTTTTCCCACAAATGTCATGTAAGGATCCACACACATCTATAAGAAAAATTCATAAACAACGACAAAGTTTTTATGTGAAAAATTCATAAAGAGAAAAATTTATAGAGTATATCCCAGATGAAATAAACTACTATATAAATATATATTATAAAAGTTTGCTCTTACCCTAAATTAGATAAGATAATAATATAAATTATGGATCATTAGCTTGTCTTGTTGTTGATGTAGAGAATGTTGTAGAAATAATAAGAGTGATGGAGATGGTCAAGAGATAAATGTCAATCAATAGATGTCAATGTCAATAACAAATCATAGTAATTAGATGTCTGCTGAGTGACTGTGATAGGATTATGATAATCGAATAATGATTGTCAAGTCATGTTGGTTGAATGATGATAGTCAGGCACATATAATTGAGTGATAATAATTGGGCTACAAAAGCTACTAGTGGTGACCATCGGGTTGAGCTATGGAACTCTTACGTCTCTAAATTTTCTTGAATTTTAAATCATCCTCATGTAAATAATGTATGTCTATTTAACACTTAGTATTTTTTTCATAATGGTAGTAAAAAATTATAAATACTCTATAGGATAGCTTGTATTGGTTCCATTAATTATAGACTATTTATTGATCAATTAAGTACCTTAATGATGGTATAATTGAATGATCTTGGATTTATTGTATTCCTTTCATTAGGAGGCTTCATTCTATTATAAGCTTACAAGATTCATAGATTATTTGGTCCCTCAATAGTGTTATGAAGATTCAAACCATGCTTTAAATATTTAGAATCTATTTGAAATGGCTGCATTTTTTATAAAAAATAGTTGTAAAGTTATTTTGAGAAAAAACAAATTTTTGGAAAGCTTCTATAAAAATAAACTTCTTAGTACATACATTTCTTGTAAACAACGAGAAAGCAATAACAAAGCGGAACTGTGGTTGCTAGCTCAAAAGAAACACAGTAAGAACGTTAATTTTGAGCTCATATTAAACCACTTTTTGTGTTGTTTAACTCGTCTCATCTAAACATTCAATTTCACTATAAATTTGTTGAAATAAGAGTTTGAATTACCCCAAAATTAAATTTAAAAATTTTTCAATTCAAATAATCTACCAAAATAAAATTTATATTTGATCAAATGAATTTTTGTTGGACATGAATCAAAACATAATTGTATATAACATTACAATCAACAAAATATCAAATATGAGGTGGCCAATCCCATCATTTATATTATTTAAGGAAAATAATGATGTGCTTTGACTACAAAATGTAGGAAGCAGCTTTGCTATTAACCACTTGAAGGAAGCCATTAAACCCAAACAAAATAAATTGAAGTCAAAGATCATACTCTTATAACATCTCCATCAGGCAAACTGTCAAAATTACTCTCTTTAATCACATCATCCACATTGTTTAAGTGAGAAAAAAAGATAATTTCATATATATAAAGCATGACATTGCTGAAGTGGTGGAGAATTTCCCATTTCTTTAGATAGGAACATTATGACCGTCCTGAAGAAAAGTTGTATTTGGTTTGATTTAGAGTCTGTTTGGGATAGCTTTTTCATGTTATGTGGTGGAAAGTGGTTTTTTACAATCAGAGTTGTTAAGTTGCTTTCCCCACAGCAACTTCGCAAACAACTTCATAAAAAATTACAGTCGTCTCAAATAGGCTGTCAGTTGTAGAGTATAATAGTAGTTTTTGCAAGTCGCAAATAAGCTCATATTTTATGGCAAGATTATTCAATACTTAAACTATAATAAGTGGGTGATCTCAATCATGATGATTTGAGTATGAAGTATTATGTTAGAATTATTCAAAATTTGATATTGATCTCGATCCAAATGGCACAACTTTTTTTTACCAAAGCATTTTAGGTCTGCAAAATGCATTCGATTGATAAATGAATGTTTTGACTAAGGCACGATTTGAGACAACTACTTTATAAACTATAAAGTTACAATAAAGAAAACAACTTAAATAAATTTGTTGTAAAAATAACTTCCACCATAAATAATTTTTTTAAAAAAGTAAGAAAACAATAAAAAAGTAGTAGCCAAATAAAAGAATGGCTTCATTTGGGACAATTTTTTGCTATTATTTTTCTAATGCTTTCAAGAAATTTTTCTGCGAGAATTACTGTAAAAAATAGTAAGAAAACTGTCATAAATGAAAGAAATTATTCTGTGTGGAGACCGGACGCAGAATGCCATTCGGAGATCAACCAGATTGCTCAACGTCAGCGGTACCGAGCAGCACCAAGTCAAGCCACGGTACTGAGCAGAAACATGACATGTCACATTCTGGTTGGTCTCCGGACTGCTGGTACCATGACTCAGTACCGCGGCTCGGTACTGCTCGGTACTGCGGCTTGATACCGCTAACGTGACTCATTCTGGTTGATCTCTAGACGACATTTGACATCCGTACAAAATAATTAATCCCTAGATGAAGCCTATGTTTATCATGTGAAAAGAAGGAAAGCAACCAAAATTTTTTTTTCCCAAATAGACTCTAAAAATATAGACACATTTAACTTAAAAATATTATCTTTTTAATTAATATTTAAACCTAAAAGGAATTTAGAAATTGTTAAAAGAAATTTCAGAACTTAACCGAATCTATTATAGAACAGCGCTTCAAGAAGTACACTGGATATTCATCCGCAACGCCGGCTCAATTCGGGCGGATCGGGCCGGGCGGGCGCCCAAATTTAAAACCCATTTCTCTTTGCAAATTTCCCGAGATCGTTCCCCTTTGAAGTTGCGTCCCTGCCCCGAGTGCTGCGGCTCGCATTCCATTTTTCGCTCCTCTCGTCGCCTTTGATTTGTGTTCATTTATCAAGGATAAGGGGCATAGGAAGCTGTAATTAAATTAGATTGAAATCTCATTTAATTGAATAATGAAACCATTTAAGGTGAAAGCAATCAATCTGAATTTTAATTCATAACCTAAAATTTAACTCAAAGCTAAAATAAAAGCAAAAGCTTTAATTAATCAACATTAATTAATTTAAAAAAATCACTTAATTAACCAAATAAACTAATTGAATTTAAATTTTCAACTTAAATAATTTGAATAAGAGAAAATTTGAATTTTAAAATAGATCAATTAATGTAAGATTAAAACTAAAATCTAATTAAATAATATTTAATTAATGAAACATTTAATTATATTTAAAACTTTACAACAACATCAAGCCTTTATCCCACTACGTGGGGTCGGCTACATGAATCCTTTTTCTCCATTGTGTCCTATTAAAAGTCAAATTCTCGTTTAAATCTAATAAAGAAAGGTCATTCCTAATATTTTCTAACCAAGTCTTTTTAGGTCTACCCCTACCTTTCTTAACACAAGTCAAATCTAATACCTCTACTCTCCTAACCGGGTCATCGGAAGGACGCCTTTTATACTAAATTCTTGTAACATGCCGTAGGCACATACTCATTAAGTGGCTGTTTAGATACAGGATTTATACATGATTTGAGTAGGATTTATACTAAATCCTACCAAACGGGATTAAAGGATCAATTAAATCTTACGGAGGAATAAATCTTTCATTTCCCGCTTTTTGCCATAAAACCCGAATTTACAAAATCTGGGGGTTCAACGAATTTACGGGATTTGGCCGAAGAAGTGTGTGAAAGGGAGAAAGATGGTTACCTTTGCAACGAATGAGCTCTCATGGTTGTCGTTACTTCTGGTCCAACAGAAGAATGACAGACTGTTGTTAATTCCAATATTACTAGAAGAAAAGTTGTTGAAGGAGGTGAAGAACTCTTCTATCGACTCAGTTCAAAACTCAAACTCTGATGCGAGGCAAAGTCGAACAATACGAATAGTTGGAGAAGAGAAAAAGCAAACCCTATCATGCCTACGGCTATAGGAAGAAAGAGCAGAGAAAATAGACATGCATTGCTAGAGAAGCTTACCATATAATTAATTATTTTGTTAATTGATAATTAAAATTAATTAAGAATATAATGTAATTAATAAATAATTAATTACTTTTATTAATTGATAATTAACTTAGATTCTAATTATATTATTTATAATGATTAGTTTCTAATAATAATTAAAATTAGAATTAATAATTAACTCATAAATAATAAAAAATATAGTCAAAATTGGAATTAATAAGTTATTTCATAATTAAAATTTCTAATTATACTATTTTTCTAATTTTAATTTATTGACAATAATTAAAATTTGAATAAATAAGTAACTTGTACTTAATGCAAATTAAATTTAAAGCAAAAATTAAATTTGAATTTTTAATAAACTAACAGCCTTAAATCTTGAGTTATGTTGCCAAATAGTTTCACAGGTTCTAATATTTTTTTGCCAACAGTTTTCTGGATTTAAACCCTTCAGGATTTAGTAAATCCGGATTTACAAGATTTACTAAATCCTACTTGTTGCCAAACAACCCCCAAAAGTTAGGCATGAGTAATGTTGAAAAATGGAAGCAAGAAAAAAATGAGAAAAGGGGAAAAAGAAAGAAGAAAAAAATAATGAAATACATCTTTAGTCTCCTATTCATTTTAAAATCTACATATAACTACATGATAGTATGTTCTTTTGATTTGAAGTACACGTAGATACTCTTCATCATTAATACTGGCCATGCTATAACTGTTTTACCTATTTTATTTGGTTAAATTTGCTTCATTTTTTCCCTCTTCAAATGTCTTTTAAAGTACCTCATTTATAGATAATTTCTTCTTTTGTTTTTGCAAATCATGATAATGAGAGTATCTTATAACTTTTGTGATGCTAACATTATTTTCTTTTGTAGTTATTTAGTATCTCTCAAATTATGAATGAAATTATTTTACTTTTGTTATGAGTCTTGAAACTTAATTGATTTTTTTTCCCTTTTCTTTCCATCATCACTACGGATGTTTCAATTTTAGAAACTGCTATTATTCTGAACTTTGTTTTGTAATCCCTTAGGTGAAAGAAATTCTCATTGAAGAGTCAAATGTACAACCCGTCAATAGCCCTGTAACTGTTTGCGGAGATATCCATGGCCAGTTTCATGACCTAATGAAACTCTTTCAGACTGGAGGTCATGTTCCAGAGACAAATTACATCTTTATGGTAGGTCTTTCTTGCTTCATGGTCACTTAATTTGATAGTTATTTTATTCAATGGTTTCTTAATTTGTGCTTATTGTAATTAGCTCTCATAATTAATGACAGGGTGATTTTGTTGATCGAGGATATAATAGTTTGGAAGTCTTCACTATTTTGTTACTTCTAAAAGCCAGGTGTTACTCACAAAACTAATATTTATATATCTTTCTGATAATTTTTATATATTGTTTCATTTCAATATTCCATTAAAAATATAAAAATTGCGGACAGCATAGAGTGGAAAACATGTCGTGTGTGCTTTGTATCACATCTTGAATTCAATCCTTTTTACATAATGAATTTCCTACATTGTATTAGAAATGCATTTTCCCTGATATTTTGGCTTATTTTTAAGTCATAACTAATTTATTTTGGGATATGTTTATTTTAGCCTTCTTGTTTATGTTTACTTAATTATTTTAGCCTTCTTGGTTTTTATTAAATGCTTGTATGTCTTTTTATGTTGTTATTTGGATACTTTTGAATTACAATCAAATAATTTATTGGGATAAAACTAATCTCAAATTTTTATGAAAAAAAAAAGTTGCTTATTGAGTGCTATAAGTACTCTTAAATGCTTTATTTTTTGTATTTTTAATTAATTTAATGGTTTAATTTTGATGCTTATGCCTCTAAACCTTTCATGTTTTATGAAAAAAACTATTTTAATACCCGGTTGTGCAATTTCAGACCTTAACTTTAATGATCAACATACTAGCATATAACACAGAACAAAACTATATAGCACAACACAACACAACAAAATATAATAATGCCAAACAAAACCTCCTTCTCCAATAATAGCATCAAGAATAAGATTAATATAAAAAATTTAGAATTGTGTATATGATGTGTTGAATGTGTATTTCGAGCAAGGTGAGCATAGAGAAGAGTTAATTTAATGGTTGATGGTTCATGATATACAATTAAATATGATACATAAAAAATTGGACTTTTACTCAAATTATAACTTGCAAGGATTCATCTCAATTTGTTACTTTATTTATATGATTTCTTTTTTGGGTGGTTAAAATTTTAAGGTTTTTTGTAAAAAAACTTTTTAGGTTCAGACAATCATTATCATATCTACTAGTTTGAATATCATATTTTTTCTATTCTTAGGCTTATATTTTTCATGATTAACGACAATTTTCTCATGAAAATCATACATCGCTCATGGATAATGCAATATAGTACATGTAATTATAATGCTTGAATAATTATATGCTTCATAATGGATATTGCTATGACCAAGTCCAAGAGGAGAAAATGAAGAAAACTTAATATTTATACTTGGTTTCAATAAAATTTTCTTTTCATAATTATCAAGTCGCACAAATATGTTTAATTTATACAAGATCCATTTGTTGTATTAATGATCAACTTCTTTAAGGAAAATAAATCCAAATGGTTTAAAAATTTATTGTGATGAATTGGGCACTTTTAGATTTGATCTCTTCAAAAAATTCTTTTTGAGAATTTGCAAGAAGCCAACTACATAAAACAAAATCAATATTAGTTTGGTTCATATAGATATAAGGATAGTTTCATATGATACTTCATTAGGAGTTATACTATCAAATTACTCAATTGATTTATTAATTCAGCTTGTACGAATTTTTCAATTTTAAAATTAAGCATAAATTTAAATTCTAATGGGATTGAAACCAAGAAATGATCTCATGTTCATATTCAATTTCATCTTTAGATTTTAACTCTTGCTTAGTGTTAGCTCCATGATCTAATGTGGACTTTGGTTAGATTCAAAATTAATGAAATTAATTGTTAAATCATATTATAAATGTAATATGACTTATAGAATATTCATGTACTGCACATTTTTCTATTAGATTAAATTTGACTATACAAGATGCTTATTTTAGAGTGTGTTTAATAGTCTTTTGGATGGGTTGATGATACTGTTTCTTTAAAACTATTTATCAATGTAATAGTTCTAACATAAGGATTATTATAATATTTTCAAACCCTAAATCTCTATCTTAAGCTTCATCTTTTATCTTTGGAGAATTGCAGGTTAATTCATGTATAATTTCTTATATTAGAATTTTAATGAAATAAATAATGATAACAGAATAATCTATTTGCAAATAGTATTTCTCTATAATAGCTTTCAAATCTAATAAAATTTTTGAACACACTATAGCCACAATATTTTAACTTAATTAAATTAACTATGTAGTTGATCTCTATTATTAATGAATTTTGATATTATTATTTAAGCTTATGTCTTGGCTCAAGAACATTTGATTTGAGCATCAACACTTCCCAAATAAACGTCAAGAAAATATGTTTATTTTTTTATTCAATTATATGGGAATAAATAAAAATATATCTTTCATCGTTCCTCCTGGCCTATTTGCAGCATACTAGTTCATTTATTTATTCTCTTCTTTTGGATCATTCTTTCATGCCTATTCATGGTATGCATTGCTGCCTCCATGCTTTCTCCATCATTTTTTTGTTCTTTCATATTTGCCTCATGATAGTAGAAGCAAACACAAGTGGAAGAGTGAGCAATGACTGAAGTAATGTGGGAGTTTTGTTATTCTTTTTCGTCCAATACTATTGAATGAGTGTTTTTTGACTGTTGCAGCTCCTTGCTCCCAATGCCCTATCATGATGTCACTCTTTCCTTTAGTAAAAAATTTCGCTTTATGGTAAAATCATACATTTTTGTAGCCATCATCATTTTTCTAAACAATGGATTTGACATCTCTTTGGATTTTTTAGTGTTTAAAGGATCTAGTGGCATAGTTTAGTGATTTTATAGTTGCTGCCAACTATTTCAAGTGCCAGTACACTTGCAACTTATAGCTTCCTATTTTTGCTATCAGAATTTTAAAGTTATTTTTTTAGTCAAAGTTTTGTATTCATCTTTCCAAGAGCAGCTTTTATAAAACAAGTTCTGATAAAAGCATTCAAAACTGTACAATTTTATTATCAAAATCGACATTATTTTTTGTTGTATGCTTTTTCTTCAAAAAGTAGCAAAAAAGCCACCCCAAATAAAAAGCTTATTTGAGTTGTGAAATGGTATTCTGAAGCACTTCTAGAAATTATAAAATTTGTGTAGTCTGATGAATTTTTTAGTGGATTTATGTAGATTAGTAAGATTTCCATTTTTGTGGTAACATTACCATTTCATTTTAGTAGACCATTTTATTTTCAATATTCATTCATCCTAACGGAAATATAGTTTCAATTCATTTGATTTATGGTGAACCGTACACCTCTAAATAAAATATATTACATTTTCATACGTTTCATTATAAATGCATTATAAATACATATAACCAAGCAACACTTGAGAGAATTAATTGAGATGATAATTCAATTGTCTTCTATTGTAAATGAGGCTTAGAAATTTAGAACAAAGAAAACCACATTGAGTTGAAATTCATGCACTTGTTGAGACTGAAATTATATCAAATTTAAATAAATTAATAACACAATGAACCCCAACAATCAAATTTAGAGTATTGAATAAATATAGGAAAAAGTCACCAAAATAGTGAAATCAAGCCTCATGTTTGTAGGAGATAGCCGCCTCTGAAAACATTAGTAGGTTTTGTCGTTTTGTATCTTCTACCTTCTAGATTCAGTAAGAAAAAATATTTATACCTGGGCCAGCACTTGGTTGTATGAGGATTATTTAGTGAGGTGCCTTGTTTCTCATGCTTGATTTTTATGGTTAGAAAATCACCTTTTATTTGCATCATATGATGCTCAAATGATATACGAATAACCATCCATTAATTCGTTTAAGGTGGCGCTGGTATTTGGGTTCTTGTTGTCTTTGGGAAACCACAGAAATGCAATGTCTAATATTCTTCCATTGCCATTTGTTTTTTTTTTAATACTTTGAGTAGAATAACATGGGCGCTCTACTTAATGGATGATTTAGTCTCTTCTAGTTAAGGTTTGAGCCTATAAAATAGAGTGGTCTGCACTATTATCGCATCAATTAGGTGTCTACTTAGTATAATCAATCATGAGAGTATGAGACACAGTTCATGTGAGCAACTATTATTGAGCATGTTTTGCTAGTGAAGTCCTACAACTCGATGTCCTTCTCTCCAATGTAGATTGTAGCAACCCAGTCATAATAATAAGGGTTAATTTTAAAGCATGACTAGTATATATACTAAGAACTTTATTTAGTGTACCAGAAATGACTTGACCCAAATATGAGTTTCCAAATCCGTGCAGGACAAGTTCTAGAAAAATTTTCAAGTGTTTGAATGATCTGATTACAGTCATTCATCTAAGTTTGATAAGCTGAGCTAATGATGAGCATCCAATATCCAAAGCCTTTTTTAGACTTCTCCAAATCTATTAGTGAACAGGAACTTTCTATCTAAAACAACACCAATTGAAACCTCATGTGAGTTCATTATCTTGTGAACTTAAATTTTTACCACATTATGCAAAGGTGTAGCATCACATATAAGAATAAAATATGCAAACTACAAATAGAATTATGCCTTTTTGAAGCCAAGAAACTCCTTAACAAAACCCATGGTAATATACTTCCACTTCCACTCAGGAATCTCCAATTTTTATTATTTCCTTTTAATCTCTAATGTTCTCCTTTCACTTGGTGGCAAATCAAAGGCCTAGTTGCAAATTCAATTATCCTTTTACATTTGCTTACATAAATAACTTCAACATATATCTAATACTGATAAGGTGAATAGAAAACGAACATGTAGAAGGCTCTCAAAATCTGAGCGTGCCCACAAGTCCTTACACTTCCCTCAAACTGTGAGCAGTGGTAAAGACACTTCAGTCCTGGCATATAGCTTCATTTGACATATACCTTGTCAACATAAAATGAGTTTCCATGATTCACTATGATTCTATGGAAATGTTGAGAAGAGAGTTTATGCATTGATGTCATCCATAAAATGATCAAATCACTATTAGTTTGTGCCTCCCTTATTCCCAAGATCCAAAATAATTCATTTTTTGAAGTTTGATTTTTGTTAGAGTAGCTATGAATGCTGTCATATTTCATTAAAACACTAAAAACATATATATGATAATTAAATGTAAAAGTAAGCTAAAATTTACTAGAATGATATTTTATCTATTTTTTCTTGTAACTTTTTAGGTTCTCCTTTAATTTAGAAAATCATAAAGTTACCTCATGAGGAGTTTGTGTCCATGAATGACAAACACTAAAGTTGTTTAGCTTATTTGTGCACTTTAATCAGTAGCCCCTGTCTCCTTATTGATAGTTCTTAGGTATTTATAATCCACCATGAAATATGATTGAGCCATCTATAGCAACAAGAAATCCAGGTCTTTGCCCTTGAACCATTTATTCATGCAGGCTGAAAGAATGAAGCTCCTTATTGTGGCATGCATTTATCTTGAGTATTATGGTTGATGCTCCCTAAACCTAGCCAGAAAGTCATGTGAAGTCTCTGCCAAGTATTTCAAATCAAGAACCAACAAATCCCAACGAAGCCTTGCTTTCTTAACCAACAACTGAACAATGTACCTCATTGATCTTCTTCTAAATGTGTTAGCTGGCATAGTAGCTTTACAGTATGATAATTGATATATCTATTGTAATCTTTCATAAAGTCCATTCATTTCTCTATCTCATAGTCTGATCCTTTTTCCATGAACAAATTTTTAAGAATTTGATCTTTGAAGTTCTAAAGGGTCTGATTATACAAATAATGCATCTCAAATCTTTAAAACAAATAACATGCTTCTCATGTCCTTTCAGCATGCTTGAAACATAAGCCATTATTTTTTCATTGTGTCTCTGCACATGTCCCAAATGTTAGGTAATATTGTACGCTTAAAACATATTTTTGACTAGAAGATACAATGAGTACTGGTGCACTAGTTAATATTTTCTTAAGCTCCTTGGTTCTTCCTTTATGCCAAATCCTAATTGAATGTCACATTATTTTCGGTCAATCTTGTTAGTGGGACAAAAACCTTAGCAAAACGTTCAACTTCTTTAGTAATAAACTTGCAATTCAAAAAACATATTATTTTTGAAACGTATTATCTTAGATACAGTACTTGACCTATTCCAATCTAGAGCAACTTCAATCTTTTTATGATTTACATAATTACAAGCTCAAGAAATGACTTGTCACCACATTCTTAAGCTATAATTTTCATTTATTTAGTTTGGAAAGAAGTTTTTCTACCCTCAGGACCTATAAAAAAATCCCTAGATGTTGCTTATGCCTCATCTAACTCTTGGAATAGATTAATGTCATAAATAAATAAGGCAATAACAAATTGATGAGAGGTCAAAACATTTGAATCATAAAATTCATGGAAGCCATTGAGGCATTGATTGAGGAAAACAACTTTACCAAAAGGAAAACAACATTACCAAAATCTTAGAATTCTTATATCAATTGTTAATGACCGCAATGGGAATACTCCTGTCATTTTCTCTCAGTTTATGATATCATGATATCAAAATTAATCTTGATTTACTTCTTAGTTCCTTAGAGTTGATAAAAAATATCATCAAATACTAGGCAATGGATGCTTATTCTTCACAGATTCCTGATCCAATTGTTTGCAATCACATTTTCATAGATCCATCATTATTTTTACAAACCTCTAGGGAACTCTGGGCCTGATAGACTTTTAAGCTAGCAAATCTTGTAGTTGCTTCTTTAATTCTTTGCATTTCTTAATCAGATAAAATAAGCAAAAAAATATTTTATGAGGATTAATTATATGTAATACATAGCATTACATTTAGTATTACAGATATCATGTTTCATATAAATAATCATCATAGCCTACATTCAATCCAAATTATTATTATATGACCATAGCTTGCTATGGGAACACTTTGGGTAAACTTCATTTAAGCCTGCAATTCTGATTGCCTTTACTTGAGAGGTTGCCTCTACTCACGTTAATGATGAACCACTCGATGATTCATTCTAATTTTCATGATTAGTCTTGACACTTTATCTAGTTCTGAGCAGATAGTCTTGGTTTGACTTGATGATGAGCTGCTCTTTGATTCATTAGCGTTTTCATCATTAGCCTTATCCCAACTAATTAGGGTTGATTTTATGAATCAGTTGGGGTTTTATTGTATTTTTAGTAGATGTAGTTTCTAGAATCTGAGATTTTCTGTTGGCTTACTGGGATTATTTATCTTTTTTTATTTGATTTTCAATTTTTTTACCACCCAAGCAATCATTATACAAATTGGCTTCTGATGAACATGCCTATGAATGATTTGTTGAAATTCTTAAAGTTTTTATGTTCGTTTCTCTCATCCCCAGACTCACTGTTCTCTTTTCTTTTTTATTTATAATTGCCTAACCAAAATCAAGTTGTTTGGCTTTTGTGCATTTACGCCAGATACCCGGCAAATATTACCCTTCTACGTGGGAATCACGAAAGCAGGCAACTAACACAGGTGTGCTATTCTTTGGTGTTTTTTTATTGTGATAGCAAATTCTAGTGGAATTTGAACTTTAAATTTACCTTCCAACTTCCAAGCAAGAAATTTTGCAACTTTTTAGTCTAATAATTATACTCTTTTGTTGATAGGTTGTTTCATGGTTTAGTAATTCTTTTATATTCCACAAGCTAGTTTAATTCAATCATTGTACTAGGAGAAATATCACATTTTATGTAGCATGTGAAAGAAATTGCCAATTTACTTCTGTGATTTTACATGCCCCCTTTTTCTGGTTTTCTAGGTTGTATTTCCATTCTGTGAAATATTGAAGAGATTTAGTTATATACCATACCACTATTTCTGATGATTAAGGGTTCAAATGTTTTTATGCTGAGGAGAATCGAGGAAATGCATGTCTTTGTTTTATGTGCTTGTTACTAGCTCTTTATTTCCTACTTTCGTTCGTCATTGTTTGTCGGTATTTTTCTTTTATGCAGTCCTCATTTGATGGGAACAAAAAGAAACACAAATAAGTGCTCCAAAACAAGTTGGAGAACATTAGACACTTTAGGAAAAAAGAAACTTTCAAAGACATAGCAAAGAAACAAACAAGCTACTTTCAACTTCAAATAAAAAAAAAACAACTTACAACTTGTAATAAAACTCAAGACACAACACAACTTATAGAATTTTTGAGATGAAGGATACAAATTGAGTGGTTACTTGTGGAGAAAAGAAATAGATTAGAAGTCCAAGACGAATTTTTAGAAGAGAGGAGATAGAAGAGGATAGCTCGCATGCTATTCGAAACCAACAAGTTTCGCTTTCCAAAAACATCACATTTAACTCACTAAGCAGCAGCAAAACAATCCCCTTAAATAGGAAAAAGGAGCTCAAAAGGCACCCAAAGCACCCGCCCCATTCAGCCAACCAGAATAGGGGAAAAACCCAAGCGGAAAGGCACAGCAGCACCACAAACCTAACAGCCAGAATTGGAATAGCCAAGAGCCGAACAGACACCAAGAAAGGAGCTTGGCAACACATGAACCCAGCATTCAATGCTAAAAAAGACGGCTCCCAATCAGCCACAACACTCCAAACACAAAGCAGCCAAGCATAAATGGGCCAGCCCAATACGAGACAAAGCAGCCCACAAATAAATACCCAATAAGAGGAAAAAATTAAAATTTTGCCTACATCATCATTAAATCTTCAGTTAACTTTGTTCAAATTAAAATTGGGTTGTATGCGGAACATGAAAACACTATGAATCTGCTTCCACCTGCTTTTCTTATCTTGGAAAACCATGGGCACAGTGTGCAAGAGTTCTCATTTCTTGTCTTAGGGCAACGTGAGATTGTAGTGTAGTTCCTACTATCTAACCAAGTAGGCTGCTGCAAGTGCAAGCCTAACCAAGAAGCCAAATCAGGTTACACGCAGGGTGTGGCAGCCCTTTTTATACCTGATGATGTTGAATATTTAACATTGTCTAAATTCTTCATCAGCATTCTAATAACCTTTTTTCAATTTTAAATATCCTTATGGTCTGGGAAACATTTTGTGGTTGCAACTAGGTAATAATTTGGTTTTATCTTGATCAATGTGAAAGTTTTTCTTTTCAATATTTCAATTTTGAGAAAATGTCCAAAATAGACCCTGGGTTTTTTTAGGGGGCCATTCAAATGCCAGACTATTCAATGTGCTTCATTTGGTCGTTTAACTCCTTAAAATTGATCTAAATTAGCCCCTTCATTAGAATCCAGTTAAAAAATTCTAGGGAGTCGAGGGATTTATGTGGATCAATTTTGAAGAGTTAAAGGATGAAATTGAGTATACATTAAATAGTTTGGGATTACAATGAACACCACAAAAAGTTTTGTGATTATTTTGAGCTTTTCCTCTTAAATTTTACCTGACAAAGGTCATGCTAAATTAAGATGTTTCAATTTCCTCGGGGAATTCAGCAAATTCAATCTTAATGCGCATGCACATCCTTTTGCATGCATTTGTTTTCTACAAGTTGAGGGTTTAGGTTCATGTATACTTGTCTCTGTACATAACATATTACGCATAAAGGTAACCTGGACACAGTTAAACTCGTGAAACAAGACCAAAGAAGTACTTTACAAATTTTTTTAACGGAACCTTTTCAGACTGAACGGGCTAGAAAGTTCTTGGGTTGATTGGTAGATTGGGTTTTAAATAATAAACCTCTGGATGCTCTATGCTTCTCTTTTAATGACCAACATTCGGCATCATAAAGCATTGCAGGCCTCACAACCATCTTAAAGAATTTTCCCTTAAGTTTGAGGGGTACTTTTCTATCACACAACAAGCGTTACAAGCCCGATGCATTTCTCCACTTCAACCATCCAACTTGAATTCTGCTGATAATATCCCCATCTATTTCACCATCACTCTGAACAACAGATCCAAGATATCTAAAACATGTACTCTTATTAATGACTTGAACGTCCAAAGTCACAATCCCGTCACTAGGTCTATTACTACTAAAATTATAAAAGACTCATGTCATTATTATTCGAAAAGTTTTACGTTGGCTGTCAACTACCTAACGCAACCCTTCATTTTTCTAATACAGGACTTGGGACCTGACAACGGCAGTGTTGACCGGCAGTAATGCATATTAGATAATAAACCTATGACATGTAATCTGTTAAATTCTTGTAATAAAATATTCAGATATCTTGAAGTTTCTTTTCCAGTGCAACAACCACCTTGTCAATTGCATTTCTAGTTGGCTTTATGCAAGGCACAAGGCATCATTGTGGGTCAATTTTTATGCTGGAGGAGAACGTTTATCATATGACTTTCTAAGCTTAGTGTCATATGAGTAGAATATTATTATTATTATTATTTTTATTTTTTTGCAGGTGGAAACCCCTTAACGTTTTAAACCTTCAAAATGCAATTTGGATCTATTTTAATGATTTCTTCCTTTAATCAAGTATTTTCACTTCGTTAAGCAGAATTACTGTTTTGTGATATTAGATTCAGGATTATGCCTTTTAACGTAGATGAGCAGTTATATGCAATTATCGTCTTACATTCATGAGTTCTTGAGATAACCTTGCCGACCTTTTTTTCTTTTTTTCAAAATTTTATTTCTTCTATGCATTTTTTATGGATTTTCGTTTCCTTTATCTAGGTCTATGGTTTTTATGATGAGTGCCAGAGAAAATATGGGAATGCCAACGCATGGAGATACTGCACTGATGTTTTTGACTACCTTACTTTGTCAGCAATTATTGATGGAACGGTAACCATTTTCTTGTTCTGTATCTACTTTAAAACTCAACTAATGTTTTCTAACGCTTCCTCTTTATTGGGTTTAAGTTGATGTTTCATGCCACTTCTCTTTGAAATTATAGGTGCTGTGTGTCCATGGTGGTTTATCTCCCGATATAAGAACTATTGATCAGGTTATCTATAATTTTTTTTTTAAATGTAGTGATTATTTTTATAATTGATAATGCCTTCTTGTTTTTTATGGCATTCAAAAGCCCCAGATTATGTTCTCTGATCTTTTCATGCTGATTATCCTAAGATTTTAATTTAGCGTTCGTCCTTTTTTTATGAAACTCATAGTTAAATGATCAATCGCTTTTGATACCATAAGCATGTTGGCATTTTTCCCCTTCCCAGTTTTCATAATTGGGGGAGTTGAACAATACACGCTGCTTCATTTGGTAGTGTAAAGATACTAGTTGTAACCATTAGATGCTGCACTTCAGCTGATTCTAGCTATTTCTACAACTTCGGTTCTTCCTATTAGTCTCTCCAACTTATCCCTCCCAAGATTGAAGCTGAGATGGGTTTCAAAAATTTTGGCTGCTTCCTTATTGGGGCTATAGTGGCCTTCCTTTTTTATTGAGACTGCCTTCGTTGCTTATCCGAATTGCAGCAGATTTTGTTTCTGATAGGAAATACTTGAGTTCGCAAGTAATCCTATTGGAATTACTTGAGTTCGCAAGCAACATTAATGATAAATGGGTAAAAACAACAAGAAAGAACACAAGAATGCCAACAAAATCAACCCGAAACAGTAGATTGCATTAGGGAAATCAAAGCAAAGCAAACATAAAACAAAGATACAATTGATCCTCAATTCGAGAGGAGGATTGTTCTCTCCCAATCTCTAGACGATGAGTCTAGAGCCCATAACGTCAAGGAAAACTCGAAAAGAATAACTCAAAGCATGCATGCCCTAACCCTAGCCTCCCCTCCTCTTTTAATACATATCTTTCTAATAAAAACCAATAAAAGGTTTTTTTTAAAATAAACCAATATTTAAATAGTTTCCCTATACAAATTCAGCCCCTTCCCTCTCTCTCTTTGCCACCCTAGGGGGGCCCACACGCTTGGGCGACATTCAAAGGAGGCGGCTTAGCCCGCCTCCTATAGGTCTGAACCGGCCCAGGTTGGGCCGGTTTGGACGGCTTAGGCTGAACCGTAACAGTTTCCTAACAACATTGTAGTATAAGATGTTGAAGACTATGTTAGTGACCTTTTTGTTGTTCTTAGGGAATCTGGTTTTTTCGAGTCGGTGGAGGTCATTTCATAGGTTTTTTGTGTTGTTAGTACGGTTTTGAGGCATGAACAAACCTTTTTGAATGACTTAAATAAAATTTTTCATGGACGAACAAGTCTTTTTTTTTCCTTTTGAGTTTTTAATTATTGGTCAGGTGTGAAACTTGAATGCAGGGAGAGACTCAAGCGCGAGACCTAACTTTTTGGCGACTTCCCCTTCATTTTTTTTATTTTTAATGTTTTTCATTATTTGCTAAAATATATAATTATGTTTTGTCAGATTCTCTATAATCTAATTTCTCTCAATCACATAAAATTTTGATCATGTGTGGCTTTCATGATCCATAATTCTAGTTAATTTATTGGAGAAGATCTCAGATTTTTCACCTCATTTAGTTTTTATCAGTTTTTTTGGATTTTTATCGATGGTTGTTAGTAATTATTTTGTACTTATGATTTGTTTCTTTCAAAAATTTGGTTTGATTCATTGTTCTCCGTATCGCTTGTTAAATTTGTATGAAAACACTTTGATACAATATCTAAAGGCATCTTACATAAAATTTGGTATTAGAGCTTAATGCTGAATCATAATTTCTTCTAGACATAGGATGTATAATTAGTTATACATGAATAAAAACATACAATTTAAATGAAATGGTAATGGTGGTGAGAGGATAAATAAGGGGTGACGAAAGCAGAATTTCAATTACATAATTTGTAGCGATCAACATACATAACTTGGATATAAAGGAAACATTCAATTGGCCTCATGAATAATTTCATTCATTTGATAGCAATGCTTAATCAATCAATAATCTTCATACAAGTCATGATTCCTTATTTATAGAAATAGAGTTACAAAGATAAAAGCTAAAAATTTTCATGCAGTTTTCATGAAGTTAAGATTTACAAATTTTATTCATACATTTGATGAAGGCTTAATCCTGTGATATATTCAAATAAGAAAGATAATTTGGATGAATTCTTTAATAGGTAGAATATATCTTTAAAAGAATGAAATTTGCTTGCAAAATTATTGGGATTTGCTAAACTATTTTGGTGAACTATTTCTATAAAAACCAAGTTTACATGGGTTGCTGTGGAACGTATATTTAGAGAACAATATTTGTCTTTCCTATGTTACAGAGATCAATTGCATGATTAATTGTAGAATTTCAATCAAGATGATTATAATTTGTTAACATATATTCAAAGATTTTGCCGCCAAATCTAATTTGCTCTAAGATTATTATTTTATTATATCTGATTTAGTAAAGGTCTTGTGCTAGAAATTTAAGCATGAATCAAGCTACACTTCTCTGAAGATAATATATGTGGTGTGTTATAGTCTTAGAGCTCGAAAAATATTATTATTGTTTATTATACCTTCAGTAATATTTCAAGGAAAATTTTTATTTTTTATACTTTTCACCTAAGTCCTATTAAAAACATAATGAAACTAGTACCATGTGATTAAATTTATTGCTACTGATGAAACTGTAGTTTTGAATATTCTTTAAATGACGAATCAGGTGCAGAAAAAATGATCCTACATGGGATTTTGCATCAAAACCTATTCTAAAATATGATCATGTACTTGAACCTAAAATAAAGCCACTATAAAGAAATTAAATATGAGATCATATATGAACTTGGAAGCTAAATACATCCATATTTATGAAATTGAATAAATTGTTAAAGTTATTGAATTATTTGAACAATATAATTATGCAACTCTTGAGGGTTTCTCTTTTACTGTTATGTTTATAAAAAAATAGTAAAATTGACATTTATTTTGTTTTTTGTTATTTGACTATTAATTTTCAAATTTATAAAGAATATTATTGAGAAGGTTAAATTATATAATATTCATAAATTTATGAATGATAAATATCTTCAAGTAAACTAGAAATTTATGACTTCATCGATTTGTTTAAAACCAGTAGTATATAATTCATATTGATTAATCATTACAACAACAACATCAAACCTTTATCCTACTATGTGGGGTCGGCTATATGTATCATTTTTCTCCTTTGTGTCTTGTTAAGAGTCAAATTCTCATTTAAATATAATAAAAAAGGTCATTGCTAATATTTTTTAACCAAGTTTTTTTAGGTATACCTCTACCTTTCTTAACATAGGCCAAATCTAATACATCTACTCCCTAACTGGGTCATCATAAGGCTTACATTTTATATGACCAAACCATCTAAGGCAACTCTTTCTAATCTAATCATCCATTGGAGTTACTCCAACCTTTTCACATATATGCTTGTTTTGCATTCTACCTCTAAGAGTAAAGCCTCTCATCCACTTAATTTTATGCTTCTCTTTTAAAAGCCTCCACTATGCAACACTTAATTTTATGCTTCTCTTTTAAAGGCCAACATTCTGTGCCATAAAGCATTGCAAGTCTCATCAACATCTTATAGAAATTTCCCTTAAGTTTGAGGGGTGTTTTTCTATCACACAATAGGCTCGAAGCATTCCTTCACTACAACCATCCAACTTGAATTCTACTAGTAATATCCCCATCTATTTCATCATCACTTTAGACAATAGGCCTGAGATGTATAAAACGTGCACTCTTTATAATAATTTGATCGCCTAAAGTCACAATACACCCACTACATCTCATGCCATATATATATTTTTAATTTTTCTCCATCTTTTGGTTTCATATTCTATACATTATTTACATAATTTTGAGATGACCGTAATTTTGTGCTAAAAGCTATGGTTGATTATAAAATAGTATTGACTATTATGGTGAATATTAGTGGTATATTGTGCAATGAAGAGATCGACCTACATATAATGATCATGGATATGTTTATAAGAAGTTAATAAATTTTCCTAAATTTGCTAGTTAATTTTATTTTTTAATCTATAGAATTGATTGGTCATTTTAGAATATTCCAGTTATTCTGGTGTAGTCCATTGTACCTTCAGAAGTTTAGCATAGTTTTTTGCAATTTTACGTTGTGGTTAAAGATTGTTGGATTGTAACGATCTTTAGCTCCTAGCTCATCAAGGTTGCAGCTGGCTTCCTTTCTTTAAGGGATTATAGCAAGTTCCTTGCTTATTGGGACTGTTGCGGGCTTTGAATCTATATGGAGTTGTAGCACAAGGTGATGAAGCTCTATTAGTGATCATTTATGTAATTTTAGAGGACTTCAATTCCGTTAAATTTGTTGAATGTTGTTTCTTAGTTATTCTTATGATTACGAATATTGATATGACTTATGAGGCATGTATTTGTATATATTTATTGAATGGCTTGATAATTTTTTTTTATGGATATGTTATCCATTCTTTTCCATATGGGATTTTAATCCTTTGTTAAGTGCGGGTTTGGGAGATTCTTGGGAAAGGTCATCTCATACAAGCATTAGACTTGCATTTATGGTAACATCTTATGAAACGGTTGCATAATTTCTGCTAGTTGGGACTCATGCTTACTAAGACTTTCGCCCTATTTCCTTCTTTTTCTGTTGTCACTAACATTGATCTGTGGGATCCTTAATACTTACTGTATAAGTTTTTTTTATAATTATTATTTTCTGATTTTGTATATTTTCTATTAGAAACTTCCAAAGATTGCATAAATTTTATATAAATATTGGAATGAAATTCAACCGAATCTCGCCAATTCTTAGTATGGTTACAAAGCTTAGGATTTCTAGCTTTTTATAAGCTACAACATTCATTGCCATATTATCTAGAGCTTGCAATCTATTATTTACTGCGGTTCTCTGTCTTTGTTTTCACCCTGTTTTTTATAATTGTAGCTTTTTTGCTTCATTGTCACAAACATTTCTCTATTGTTTCCTTCAGCACTGCATTACCACAAATTGGTCCTATTATTGTAGTCTTATCATTTTATTGCTACATTTCTTTCTTTTCCTATTTCTTTCTTGTGTACAGAACCCCATTTTTTCTCTCCATGGACAATAATAGTAATATATCTAATTCCAATGAGAGATCTGCATAAAACATTCATTCAACATACTAGTTGAATGAAAATAAGTATCTAAAGTGATTTTAATTTATTCACAATTTCTTACTAAGGATAAGGCACAAAAAGAAAAAAAAAGCTTGTTAGGAGCATCTTGAAAAACATTTATAGTTGCCAACATGTACTTGAACTCTAATATTTTCAAGTATTATCTGGTTTCATGCCTTTAAAGACTTATAGATATCCATCTTCAATTCCTGGATCATTGATTTAGGAGCTAGAACTCATGTGACTAGCTTCTCTCATACATTTATTTTATATACCCCTTGTCTTAGCAATAAGAAAATAACCATGGCCAATGAATCCTTGATTATTGTGGTTGTTCAAGAAAATATTATTATACATAAGCCCTCACACTTTGAAATGTCCTCCATTTACCTAAAGTATTTACCAACCTATTATCCATCCAAAAGCTAACTAAAGATTTCAATTATCATATTGCATTTTATCCTTCATATTATGTCTTTCATGAATAAGGATGAGACGAACGATTGAACTTACTGAAGAAAAGAATGCTCTCTATCATCTTGAAGAATCCAATGATTATGAAAATTATATATATTTCAGCATTATCTCTTCTCTTAGAAACCCTTAAATTCAATAAAAAAAAAACTGGCTTTAAAATGTATGTGGTTTGGCCACCCATCCTTCATTATTCTCAATCATTTTTCTTTTATTATTCAAAAGAATATATATCAGAGATCTTTATTATCATATTTGTGAACTAGGAAAAGACAAATGTGACAATTTTGCAATGAGTGATACAAGAATTTTTATTAATTTGCCCCTCTTTTGTAGTGACATTTGGGGACCATTACCTAACATCTTTGGAGCTTGGTGGTTTGTGTCATTTGTTCATAATTATGTCCGTATTTCATGAATCTTTTACTAAATATGAAAGTGATGCATCTTTTTTCCATCTTTTTCAAGCTGATAAAAAATAAATTTGATGTTGAAATAAAAAAAAGGTAAAATCCAATAATGTTAAATACTACTTCAATCATTCCTTTTTTTTCATACATCCAAAAAAACGGAAATACATGATTCCTCTTGTACATATACACCCCATTAAAAATGGAGTGCTTGAATGAAAGAGTGGCCAACTTCTTGCTACCATAAGGGCTCTCATTTTTAATAAAAATAGTTCAAAATAATATTGGGGAAGCAATTTTAATAGTCGCCTACATAATGAATCGATTATCTGCTAAGGTCCTTGGGTTCAAAGGTCCTACATTAGTCCTAAATAAATTCATTCCCTATTTCAATGCCTCAAATAACATTGTTTCCAAAATATTTGGAAGTGTTGCTTTGTTCATTCACATTCTCAAAATAGATGAAAAATTGATCCTCAAGCAATTAAATATGTTTTTATTGGAAAAAAAGTACAAATGTTACCACCCCCATGAAAAAGGTTTGTGCCTGCCAATGACACTTTCATTGAAAAGATTTTGACTTTGTTACTATTTATCCTAAGAAATTGATATCACCTACAATGAGTTTTTTCTCCTAGATTTCTCTTTTTTACTTCTCATCCTAGCAAAATATTATACTTTAGAATAAGTTTCGAACCCAAACCTAGTCTATATTATAATCACCATCTACTTCTCCATTATAAGTTTACTAAAAAAAATGCATCTTAATCTATGCAAGTTCAATCAATAGAATCAATTATTGTCATTGAATTCACTGAGAAAATCATTTAGCTTGCAAATAGAACTATAAAAACTTCCACTTAACATCCGTTGCATTATTTTTATCATACATTTTCCTTATAGTCACTTTTCATTTCTTCGGGCTTTCCTACTATTGTATCTCTAAAATAGTTTTTAAGGTTTTAAAAAATATGAATTGGAATAATGCAACGTGGGAAGAAATGGGCAAATTGATTTTTGTTTTAGGGAGAGGAGCCTTAGCGGTTGTTGTTGTTGGAGAGGAGCCTTAGCGGTCCGTTGTCACCACCATGCAGTGGCCTTTATATGTGATGCATCTTCATTTGTGCTATGAAAAGATAGAATCATTTTAGTTGTACATTTTCAAGATATCTGATACCTAATTGTTGCAGATGAGGGTTATTGATCGGAATTGTGAAATTCCACATGAGGGTCCATTTTGTGATCTCATGTGGAGTGATCCTGAGGAGATAGAGACCTGGGCTGTAAGTCCACGTGGAGCAGGATGGCTTTTTGGCTCTAGGGTGACTTCAGAGGTACACCATAAGATCTGATGCCAATTTTCCTTCAAAAAAGTGTCCTTAATGTCTTTCTCCAGTTTGCTAATGTTTGGATTTGTAGTTTAATCATATCAACAATCTCGATCTGGTCTGCCGAGCACATCAACTTGTCCAGGAAGGTTTGAAATACATGTTCCAAGACAAAGGTCTTGTCACAGTGAGTTTACCTTTTAGTTCTAACCAAAATTCCGTTCCATTCATTTTTTGAAGAATGTTGGTATATATATTTATACTTGAAATTTGCATATGCTCCTCTTTGCAAATTTGAGGCAGCAAAAGTAATCATTTACTTGTTTCACCAGGTCTGGTCTGCACCAAATTACTGCTATAGGTGTGGAAATGTAGCTTCTATACTTAGTTTCAATGAGAATATGGTATGAGTCTGCAAATCTGGTATTATTACCTTAGTGTTTTAAATACCACAAAATTCTTATCTTTCTAAATATCTTACATGAAAACCTTTATATTTACTTCAACTCATTCTCTGAATCACATAAAAAATATTATTAATACTAAATTATCTAAATTGAAACATATCTTTTCAATGTTTTTCTTATGTGTTTTAAAAACTTGTGTTATGCAAGTAAATATAGATATTTCAGTATCCATATGCGAATGTTTGTGGAACTGTGGACTAAGATTTTGTTTGGGACGGTTTTTTTATTGCTTCTTAAAATATTTTTCTAGTACAAAAATTAATTTTTGTACTAGAAAGCTTCTTTAAGAAGCAGTAAGAAAGCCGTCCCAAGCGAAGCCTAATTATTATCTTCTAGGTGATTCTGTGAAATACGTTGCATGATTTTGCGACCAGTTTCCCTTTCCATCTTTAAAACTGTGCTCTGGAATTAGTGTAAAGTCTCAATTTTCGGAATATTTGCTGATGTGATTACCACTTGGAAGGAAAATAGAGTTCTCTTGACAACTTTTTCTGTTGATTACAGGAGAGAGAGGTAAAGTTCTTTACAGAAACTGAGGAGAATAATCAGATGAGGGGACCTAGAACAGGGGTTCCATACTTTTTGTAGAAGCCGATTCTTGATTTTTTTTCCCCTACGAAGTGCTTCAGTTTTCCTGTCTTTATGGCTTAATTTGTGTTGCATGTGGAGGGTTTATGAGCATGGAGGTCATCATGGAAAGAAGGAAATGCTACTACCTGTGACCGGATTAGTGGTTCTGCTAGAGAAAATTTAAGAATTCTGATGGGAAAGATTATTATAGTGGCAGATTTGTAGCCATACTGATTTTCTGTACTCAGCTGTGTATTATATATTCATGTTTTCATTTCAGTGTTGTTACTGCTAAGCCTCTTGATTTTCCCATTATTCTTCTACAATGATTTGTCCATGATTGCAGCCCAGAGACCATAGCAAAATGATGAGCTCAAAAGCCAGCTCGCTTACTTCATAAGAGTTGAGATTTCGGAGAAGCTATGATTGAGAATGACATTCTACTGCCAATTTTGTCTTGTAATCTTAGCAGATTTCCAATGTCTTGCTTGCAGCTCATCAATTTGACATTTTGTAGGCAATCTTTGTTCTAAGGGTTGGTGATATTTAAGCATCTTTGTTCTTTGGTTGGCTGCTTTCATTGCTGATAGATTATTATTAGTATTATTCAAATCTAATTTGTTTCTTCACATTTTTGTTTTATGATGAAGCATTTGACCCATAGGAGGCTCAATATGAATGTAAAAGTATGTTTTATTAGAAAACATTAAGTGTTATATAAGTAAATTTAAATATTTAGATATATAAATATATAAAATATTGATGGTGTATATGTAAAGCCTCATTAATAAGAGGAAAATTCATATCTCATCAACTTTTCATGCCTGAAAAACATTGGTAAATCCTCATTAACAAGAATCTTCTTTTTATATAAGCTCCAAGACCCTTCCAATAAACTATAAGAAATTTTAAATAAATCAGAAGCTTTTCAAATTGTAAATCCCCATCTAGTTCTGTTGGAGGACTTACGGGGCTGTCTATTGGTTTATAATCTTTCAAGTTGAATGTGGTACTTAAATTATTTGAATATTTGATTTGAAAGATAAGTATTTCCTTATCTTTCTGCTCCACTTGTAATCCATGAAAGAAATAAGCTTTCAAATAAAATTCTTTTCAACTTTCTTATTCATAATAGTCATAATATTATAATCATATATCATTTACATAAATCTATATGTAATCTTTGACTCTTTTATGAATGTGATATCTAATAACCTAATTTTGATCCTCCTTACTCTATCAGCCCTAAAACACCTTGGATCTATACATCTACTTCAAATCCGACTTGCATACATTACCCTAACACTTCATAATAGGCTTTCTAGCTTCTCAGCGCAACATTACACCTTTTTATTAACTTAATATTCCAAGACCAATCAAATCCATCCAGACTAGTTCAGCTTTATATAGTCTTTAGGGTTTTGCTCCTTTGGCCTCTAAACCACTTGCAATTTCACCCAACCATCTAGATCACATCGAAAGTCATTACCTAATTTAATCAAGTAGATACATGCCTAGAATTCCCCAACATATGAAACCTTGGGTTCAAGTTCCCAAGAAAAGTCTTAGGGTTGGCCATATCCTAATATCGAGGAAAGGATTCTCCAAGGATTTAACTTATTATGGACGAAAGCAAAAAAATACCCATCGAGGCTTTAGGGTTGTTGGTGGGCGGGCATGATTGGGAACCCCCCATCCCGAGTTTGAATCCCCCATACTACAACCTCACATCTACAATGGGGCAAATCAAATGTTGGCTCGATGCAAGTGGGTGGCCTCGCTAGATTCCACCAAAAGATTAATTACGCCGCCAAATACTTTCTTCGGAGTAGCAGAGGATAGACACCCCCGTTCAAAAAAAAAAAAAAAGCTAAAAATGAGTTGAACTCTTTGTTGGAATAATTGTATTCGAGGTGTAGGTCAATGGGAAGGGACCAACTAAGGGGTTAGGTTATTGGACGAACTTAGAGTCCTCTTCGGGGCTTAGATGCCTAATATTAGAATTTTGAGTTAATTGGGGAGCTAGAAAAGCTATGAACCGCTATAAGAATATGTTGAGGTCTAATCTTGAGTAGAGTGTGAAGATCCAAGATATTTTAGGAGATATAGGTGGGTTGCAACTGTTGCAGAGAACTAAACCAAAGATAAATGTTAGTTAGGAGATAATTTCTAACAACGATATTGAAGGAATTGTAAACAGCTTAAAATTCCTGTAATCATCTGGTCTAAGAGACTTTCATGCATAGAGAGTAATGGTATGCTCTTAAGAGGAAAGCATTGTCTCAAGCCAAAGCAGAAATTATACAGATGATATCTTACACATCAATGGTGAGATAAGCAGAGCAGGCATCTAACAGTTGAGAGGAAATCAATCTAAGCATGTGCAGGACAGATGTGCTCCACTTGTGAATTAGTGACCCGGAATCTGCTATAAGCCAATAAACATATCTTATCACTTATCAAAAACTAGGTCAAGAGGATCACTAATTTGATTGGCAACTTCAAAAGTAATTTTGGAATTTCTTTAGGGTTTGAGAGAAAGTTATAGAATGATGATAGAAAGATGAATGTATATTTTATAAGAGATTTGAAGAGACGCACAGCCACTTTTTCTATATTTTTTGAAAGGACGAATGCATAGAAGACAACTCTAAGAGATCGGTGCCATTTATAACTCCATCAAACGAGCACATGGCTAGCTAGCTGGCCTTCATTTCTCTACCACCATCATCATCTACTTTAATTTTTCAATAAAAACTTGTAAGAATTCTAACTGAGACCAGTTCAAATGAATAGAAGGTGCAAGTGCAGAACCGACACGAGTAATTAGCAAAATGAATCTCATCATATGCTCAAAGGCTTCATTTGGGACAACTATTATAATTTTTTAGGAAGTAGCGTTTTAGCACAAAAATATTTTTTACTAAAAAGCTACTAAATAAAATAATAAAAAAGCTGTCCCAAACAAAATCTAAATCAGCTTATTCATCGCCAACATACAGTTTCTATAGCTTAAAAAAAGCACTTCATGCAAAACAATTTGAATAACACCTAATGAAACCCACTGTTTTATCTTTTTAAAGTTTTGAACAAAATCCTTGCACAAAAATTAAGAAGCACATTACCTCATGCATTTGAATGTTGTTCGGTATAAGGGAAAAGAGCTTGAGAAGCCATCACTCTTCTACAATCATCATTAGTCAAGTGAGGGTAAAGCAAGAAGATGATACAGAAACAATACTACATTAATCACTGATAGGAAATTTTAACAGAAAACCACGATATCTTTAATTCAACTTTGAGAAACAAATCAATAGCTCAAAATAAGCTTCCAGAAGCAACCATCATGAGAGGAAGCAGCATATTTATCATCTCTTTCTATCATATCAGAAAGAAGCTACAAAGAGCCTGTAAGGTAAACAATGAAGACGAAAGTAGTGCAATCTACTTTTTCCATAGGTTGATAATACCAACTGCAATGGATTTCAAATTACCCCAAAAAATTGATCTCTTAGTCGATTGTGCGCCTTGTTCAACAATTTGTCGTTGGCCACTATAAAAAGAAGAAGAACAAAACCAATTTAACATTTAAGTAAATAAAAAAAAAATGGTAACAGCTTGAAGGTAAGGTAAGTTGGTAAAATATGATATTACAGCTTTAGCTAGTTATAACAGCTAGCAGAAAATGACAAGCACAAAAGTAGCTGAAGGATAGAAAAATTAAATCTCCTCTCTTTTACTACTATTTTCCTTGCAGATCTTTTTTATTTCCCATGGTCCCATTATTGTTCCCCCCTGTGCACTTCTCCATAAGAATTGATATTAAAACTGAACTTTGGAGTTCCACGGAAAAGTGGAGCAATGGAATTCAAAAATTGCAATGTGAGGATGTAAATGTTTTGATGACAAGAATTTCGAGAACTAGAAGATGACAATCAAAACTAACAGCACCAAAAAAATTTCATCAACCATTAATGCTGGAGTCAAACGCATTAAGGCCGCTGCTATGAGCAAAGAAGACACGGATATCCCAAAAAGATAAGCTTCCAAAGTTACATATTTTGTCAGTAACAAATGTTTCCTTCAATATATTATTGCATAAGAAGGCCACAACATAATGAAAGCTCTATAGACATGTACAAAAGTGTTAGGCGGACAAGAGCTGAACCGGCCCAGCCGGTTCAGCAAACATATAGGAGGCAGAGGTATTCCGCCTCCTCTGCTTTGGCCAGCCCACAAGTGGGCCCCACTTGCTAGCATCATTTGAAAATTCAAAGAGGAAGGAGCGGCTAGGCTTTAGGAGGGAAAACCAATTAGGAAATTTATTGTATTAAGAAGGATGAGGGAGATTATATATACATAGCATAGCAATGAGATCAAGCATATCACAAAACAATTGAGTTTGATTGGTATCAATTTGGAAGATGAAATCCATGCATTGAACTTGTTATCATCACTTATTGAGAGCTGGTATGGATCTGTGATGGCGATCAACCGTTCATGTAGGTTTATTGAGCAAGGGCTCAATTATGCTTATGATTTTATCTTTAGTGAGGATAATAAAAGACGAGAATTAGATGAAGGATCATCTTTTGCTTCACTAAATCTTAAAAGTTGTGGAAAAAAATATATGAAAAAATAATGGAAACAAGTCCAAAACTTAGAAGAGTCAACCCAAAGAATAAAACAATGCAATTTGGCAAGATTGTTCAAATGAAAAGGGATTATTTACTAAGGAATGGTAAACATAAGTCAACTTAGATAGAGAAATCAATGAATTAAGATTTATAATAAACCCAACCTTGGTACTTATAATTCTATAGAATCTAGCATACTCGAATTCAGGTGTCTTTTTATTGTACTCCACAAAATGAGTTTACGACGAACTATTTTGTAGGAGATTGTGGGAAGTTAATATAACCGATAATGAGCCTTTAAACATTGCGGAAATTGGTTATGTGCAAAACAAGATTGCAAATATAACTATATGGACACTTTCATTATGTGAGGATCTTTCTTGGTTTGAAAAGAAACTTGATCTCAATTGGACAGCTAGTTAGAAAGTTACATCTCAAGCTTCATACTGAAACTTGAAAGTGACCAAGGGGCACTATGAAGATGGCATGTGAAAGCAAGAATAATACCATGTACATGACATTAAACATAAGAATGGAGTGAACAATTATAAAATCAATTATTAGTGATTATGAACAAGTAATGTGGAAGAAAGCTCCTATCAAGTAAAATCTACCAAAGGGAGAGTGTTACAAGGAAAAGAATATTTTAGAATCAAGAAGCATGAAAGCAAGGCTAGAATTGTGGTAAATGGCTATGACATGTTTGTTATTGATGAACTGAGGTACTGCAAAACTTGAGTTAACATTTATGAATAATTAAGAGGCGCCGCACAAAGGTCATTCTCTTTGCAGATAGTACATCTAAAACTAATCTCCAATAAATATTGTTAAATGTGAATTTAATTTGCTCTAAAATCTCCAATAAGATTCAATCAAGATTTATTGTGGATTCCTAGCTAATTTTAAAGTTTAATTTGAGACAAATCTGTTCAAGATTTGTTACCATAGTCAACCCTTTAAATCACTCCCTAAACTAAGCAAATTAGTTATCATCACCACCGCCTCAACCTCTTATAAAAAGGAGAAATACAGAGATCTTACAAGTACAAAGTTTAAGTCCCAAAGGTGATCATTGACATAGTATTGGTTTTTCTTTCGAATCCAAAAAGGGTCGAAAACAACATGTCTAACAACTTTTCCATAGGTGAATCAACATCCCTTAGAGGTCAAATTGGTTACTCTAACACAACAATTTGAATAATGTACCATAACCAATCTCTTAGATTAGTTTTATTTTATAGAATACAATTTTTTTTTCTCTAGTTTGGACTTCCACCTTGTTGTTACTGAAAATTGGCTTTTTTATTTTCTTTGTTCCTATGGTAAATAAGAAGGGAAAATAGCAAGGCAACTAGTAGAACCAAGCAATTTTGGCAGTAGGGCAAGCAACGACAACTGCAGAGAGCAATATCAATTTGTAGTAGCAACAATAATAATAGAATTCACCAATTTCTAGCTTTCATTAGACAACATAACCCAAAAACTCACCTTTAAGTCTATCGGGCCAACCACATTATAATCTTTCTATGACTATAAACCATCTTTTGATTAAGAGTATCCAAGCTCTACCCAAAAACCATGTATAATTTTCCATCCATTGAGGAGGTTTGATCCATAATCTATTTTGGGGGATTTCGAATTGATGCAAGAGGGGAAGATTAAAAGACAAATCACTACAATGGGATAGTTAAACTGAGAAAAACGTGATGAGAACAAGCTACGACATCCTTGGAAAAGTCTTTAAGAAGAGATAATTTTCTATAAATGATGTAGGTGTTCAGGTATTTTCCCCTTTTAAGGAAAAAAAACTAAACAGCAACTTCCTTAATGGATGTGCTCCATGTGACTTGGTTGTGAATAACTCGCTAACATATAAATATTTTTTTAGAAATAGTAAAAACTTGTGGTCAAACATAAATAAAATAGTGGTCTATAAAGCAAAATTATGAAAAAATTGCCTCAAACACACCCTTAGTATTATTGTATCCTCAAAAGATGCTACTCTTACACCATTTCTTGTTCAATTATTTTAACTTTACCTATTTCAATATAACTGCATGTTCATTTTAGATTCAAATTCAGACATTATTTAATTTTTGTTATATAGATTATCTAAAATACAGTACCCAGCAAGGCACTAAGTTATACTTCATGTTTAAACAAGCAAATAAAAACCTAAGTTGGTGGATAGCATAATGAAAGGTTTATCAAATCTTGCTACTATTAATTTCCTCTTCCTCATAATATGTACTATCTTCCTCATTACTAGCTTATGGCCCTCCATTTCATGATATAGTCATGTATGTTTCAAAACTTTTTTGCATCATGGAAGCATGCATCGGGGCACCTAGTAACTTACAGTAAGGCACTTGCCTAGGCGGAACCTTATTGATTTTGCCTACTTCTCCTTATCTAGGTGCCTAGGAAAATGCCTGACTCTCCCTTGATAACAATGAGCCAAATATGACTCACTCCTTACAACTAAGATATGCCCAAACCCCAGCACAAGTTATTTGGCATGAGTAAAACTAAGAAGAGCATACTCTACGTGCAAGAAGTAGAAATGAATGAATGTTTGCACGTTTGCACTATTCATTTGTAATATACATGTATTTTCATTTAAACGGTTGTTTGATATTGCAATAAACAGAATACAGAACCTATGCTAAAACTTTTAGCTTCCTTTCACTCCCCAAGCATGGGGAAGTCAGTAGTGGTTCAAACTTCAAACCTTATGTTATAGCCAATATATTCAATATAAAATGCAAATCAAACTTCTATCCTCTTGTGCACCATGAAGAACAGCCAAAGAACAAATTCATATTTTTCAAAAATATATTGAAAGAATAACTAAAAGGGATGAAAGGGCTAACTAAAAATAAGGAAAATCCAATTGGCGGGTCTTAAGGATATGGGAGATCAGATAGCAGTCTGTGCCAAAATTAGACACATAAATGAAATTTAGTATGAGTATAAAGAGTCCTAAAAGAGCATATATGGAAGAAAGTGATCCACTACAAACCTTAACTACAACATTTACCAACCCAACCCATGAAGTCAGAAAAAGGAACTGATGAAAATTCCACAACAAAATGATGATGACCAATGTTGTGGAAAATACAACTAAAAAAGGTTAGGAACACAAGAAAAAAAAAAATCGGCATCCTAATCAAGATCAATAATGTAACTAGGAAATCAAAATGATGCTTACTGATGGACTTCTGATCGAATGGCTCGCTCATGTATGTTCGCAGCAGAAGCTGCATCTTTCCTGCAAACTTCTCTCTCTTCAGTGGAAGTGTGAAAAATACTTGTTTTAGTTTCCAGTTTGGCAGACACTGGATGTCCCACCTAAACATGTTGCACAAGTATCAATTCGGAACTTAAGAAATGTGTGGACAGAAAGCTGGAAGTAAGTGTGCAGATATGCATGCAGGCAAAGGTGGTAGTAAGTGTGCAGATAGGGCATGAGCATGTAAACTGAAAATTTAAGGGACCTTTTCAAAAGTAATAAAGAAGTATGAAGGTCTAAAACACTAACATTCATTGTTTCAGTATTTGACGCTACTGAAGTATGAGTTTGTGGCTTCACTGTTGCTGGAGAAGTAGACACATGCAGTTTGTCAAAACCCAAATCCTTGTCTTGGTGACTTTCTTTACTATCCCTCGAAGGAGTAAGCAGTCTATGAGCATCTCTTTCAATCTGATTGTCAGAATGGGCCTCAGTACTCAACCTAGAAGTTGTAGTGCCTGCCTTGCTTTTAGAACTTGAATGCTGCTTCCTAACTTCAATACTATTGCCGATATACTCTTTAAAAGAAGATTGTTTAGCATCAGCTAAAATACAAGGTTCTTTTGTCAAAGAAAAGTCTTCAAACTCGATCTTTTCCTCACTAATCTTGATTTCCTTTTTAGTTTCTAGAGGTGTCCTCTTATGACTATGTTCCAATTCCTGAATAATCTCTCTTACCACATAATATGATCCACCAACTTGTTTTTGAGTACAGGAAATAGTTGGGAATTTCCCGCCATTCAAAGCTCTATATCTGCATCAAAAACTCAAATCATCATTCAATTTTCAAAGGACCTTTTTTAGAAGTTGTAAGCCAATATAAATTTTCAACAATTGAACAATTTGCTTCATGTGAATTTCTTTGATAAGGACCAAAGAAATAAGAGGGGGGAAAAACATACCAAAAAAAAAATCCTAGTCTTCATAGTATCAGATAAAGTTCTTGCTCATGATAATCCCTAATTGCTTCAATGCAACTTGCAACCCAGTGAGACAATATTTTTTGTCTTCAATTCAACAAGTAAATTACATGGATGTGTAGCCTTGGGTAACCTTCTAAGAAAGACTATCCAATACATATAAAACATCAGTATTCAAGGTACACTGTTACTTGCATTTCAAATCAATTTGTGCTATTTCATGGAACATACCATATATTACTTATAAAATAGGGCCATTTGACATTTTAAGAAATATAAAGACAATGCAACATCAATTTTCTGCATACAAACATTTGAATTAAATGGACGCTTGTTTTTGTGTCCTTTTTAGTTTGATATGATTTCTAAATGTTCTATAAAACAAGAAAATACTTCAGGTTCATCATTGGGTAATAAAGACCTGACTCATCATACTAGTAAAAGACTAAAGAATGCAGACAGGCCTATGAGCAACAACCAAGTTCCTTCTGTTGTGACTTGGAAACCGATTGGAATCAAAATGATGTTTCTGCAATATAAAGGAAAGTTTGCATATGCATCAACACTTCCCTGGCTGGTTAGAGATTCATCAATTGGACCATTTTTTATTTTCAAATTATTAGCAAAACAACAAAATATTTTTTTTGCTGCTTAATTATTAGTAAAATAGTAAATTGCACAAATATTTGGACATATCATTAGCATTGTGATGGAACTTGAGTTGCAAAATTCGGAATCCAGGAAAAACAGCCCAAAAACAGTGGAAAAATGAAGGACTTCTTGGATGAAAACACTCACAAACACTTCAGTTACTTAAATATCAAAAGACTTACAAGTTTCCACGGATACAATGCTCTCAATTCGAAAAGAGAAGCTTTCTCCCAAGCCCTAGATTAGAAGAAACTAAAAACAGCCACCCAAAACAAGATGCCTCCAAAACCAACCCTAACTCCCTTTTAACTACCACAAAACCCCCCCATAAACCCCTAATTACCCCTAGGGCAAACACATCATCCTCCCTCTTCAATTTGGTGGCCCCCTTGGGCCCACCCGCCTCCTCTCTCCCTTTCGGCCGACCGCCCAGGCAGGCGGGTTCTCCGCCTGCAGTACGTGAGAACCGGCCCTTTTTGGGCCGGTGTTGCTGTGGGCTGGACCGGCCGGTCCGGTCCATCACATTTATGTGTCATAAATTCTGATATATGATACACCAAGTATAAAATGATTTTCAATCAAATGTAATAAGCATCATTATTTATTATTTCCTTGTATTTTGGATAAATTATTTTCTTCCTATAACTAGGATAAAGTATTTTCCTCCAACGATTTAGATTATTTTTTCCTCCAATGATTTGTTTGTTTTAGATTCATATTTCAAACACAAAAAGAAACAATATGCAACAACTAGTAATTAGCTGTGGGTTATGATAAAATTTCACCTATCAGGTATCAACTCAAGAATACATCATAGTTTTAAACTAATAGGTGAAGATCAAAAGCATGAGAATATCATTTATGCCAAATTAACTGAAACTTACTTCTCAACAAAAGCTAATACCATTGCACTCCTTTCTTGCTTGGTTACTTTCTTTCGAACTTGTTGTAGGGAAAAAGAGTTGGAAGAAACTGCAGCAGAAGAAGAACTCCAACAACATTGGTCACTTGATTGAAGTACCGCATTTGATACCTCAAAGAACTCTGCAAGAACCCTTTTTAGTAATCAAACGAAATCAGTTCGTACAGTTTACCAGAAACAAATCAAAAGTTCCTTTGCACTATAAACAACAGCACTTTTAAATTTTTGTTGTTCAGGGAAAACAAATATTCTCCTTATAGAAAAAGACATACAATGATTAGCATTGTCCTTAGCTTAAAAATAGTTTTATACAAAAAAGGAAAGATGGATATTCAACCAATGTTGTTTAAAGCAAAATGGACCCTCAAGTAGGTATGATTGCATAATCTACAAGGGAGAAATTGTTAAAGCACATATAAATATTGGATTTAGTCTCATGTTAAATAAGTGATAAATATGTTTGTGTAAAAATACTTCATACATAGACTTAAGCTTGAAGGTTGAAAATTAGCTCAACAACTAGTGTATCTGGCCCAAGTTTAGTCTCCTTTTGGATCAAACTCTCTAACATACTCTATCAGAGCTGATGGCTCAGCTGGGATCGCATGATATATACAACATGTGGCTCCTATGAGATTTAATTGCTTCTATCCCAGTCTAGCAAGGTTCAAGAGAAAGTGACCCCAACACAAGCTCCACGTGATTGAGTAGTCTCTTTGCGCATGAAACTTAATGATATTTTAAAAAAATATTCAATGAAGTTAAAATGAACGTTTTTGTGGAGAACACTCACGAGAGAGGAAAATTATTAAAGCACATAAAAGCATTGAGTTTAGTTCAATATCAGACAAATAAAAAATAGGTTGTAGAAATACTAAGTAATTGGCTGGCTTTCACCAATAGGCTTAAGCCTTTGAGTTGAAAATGAATTTGACTGTCCGTATCTCCAACCCAACTTTGATCCCCCTTAGTTCCTACTCCCTAAATATTAGGTGCCACCATAAGAACTAACCCAAGCAAAGTGAGGTTCTAAATAATATCTATTTCACGTAATATGTTATTTCAATTATGAGGAGCAACCATAACATCAAAACATGCAAGAGAAAATAATCAATAATATAGTTTTGTTGCATTCAAAGATAAAAAACATTTCTAAATAGATAATGTTAAATAAGAAAAAAGAAAGACATTTAAATAACTTTAGACAATTAAATAACTCAGGTTTAACATGAATGGTCTAGGAATTCTCTAATCATTGCTATAATATCTTCCATCTTTATCACCATCCATGCTCTGTTCTCCTTCAGTATATATGTATTCCTCTATATCTTCATCAATATCATCAGCCCCAACAACTTCATCAATTCATCCTCAAGAATTAGACCTCTATAACTAGACTTGCTCATACATTAGCTCTAACTTACTAACACATTCAAATCCTTATTCTCCAACTCTTAGTGCTTTGTACATCACCACATATTAAATTATCATAAAAAACGCATCTTCTACATTTAAAGCATTAGCATCCATCTCTTCAATCAGCGTAATGCACTAATCTCCCTGACTAGCACTTAATGGTAGGCTATGATGCACAGACACGGACACGGCGACACGGTTACGACACGAAACGGACACGGGACACGTCATTTATTGAAAATATAGGACACGGGTTTGACATGGTATTATAGTTTTTATATTTAAAAAATAGTGTATAAAAATTAAATAAGTATAATTTTAAAACTAATTTGAAAATAATAAGTCATTTAACTAGAATTTGTGCTTAAAATGATTAGTATTAGTATGTCGAGAGTAAGACGTCGATGTCGTTTATCAGTCATCGAGAGAGGAGATGAAAATACCTTCACTGCCAAAAAGAAATGAAAATGAGAATATTCGATGATTGGGTATTAAGTGTGGACGTTGATTTGGTGTTGTGGATAGGAAATAAGAAATTTAGTTTAAATCCCGCCAAATACAAGAAATTATATTTAAAAAAAATTATAAAATATTTAAGATGCGCGTGTCGAACACGCGTGTCCAATTTGTATTTAATATTTTTTAATCTGACACGTTTTCGACGTGTCCGACACATGGTGGAGTGTCAGACGAGTGTCGTGTCGGACACGGTGTCGGACACTGCACACCTCCTTGAAGAGAAGTGTCGGTGCATCATAGATGGTAGGACACTCAACTAAGCAATAGCATGCCAGTATGCCACCATAAGAGATGAAGGAGGAGCTTAAGGCCTCGTCTCACCCAAGTGCCTAGCCAATTTTCAGTTGGCTTAGAGACAATATTTAGACCAAATATTAAGAAAAGTTACTAAATTCCAACCTCATTTCATATTTGTCATCATGGCAGATAAAATAATCCACTAATAAATTCTATCAAGTAATATAAATAAATAAATAGCGAACCCAATCAGGTTATCAAGTTTACCTAGGAAGTTAAGAACTTCATCTCTATAAATTGTGATAATCTAATAAGCAATCTGATAGGAAATACTTGAGTTCGCAAGTAACCCTAAGGGTAAACTTGAGTTCTCAAGCAATCCTAACACCAAACGAAGAGCAAACAGCAGTAAATCTGCTGTCCACAGCAGAAAAATAGCAAAACCGCAAGGAAATCTGAGAGAAAACTCAAAGAAAAGCTTGTATTCCACTAGTCGATGAATAAAATAACAAGATACAATTGATCCTCAATTCGAGAGGAGGATCGATCTCTACCAAATCTCTAGACGCCGCTAGAGCCCAAAGAAAACCTAAATCTAAGAGATCTCAAATTACATTCAAATTCAAGATGATCAAACCCTAGGAAAATCTACTATTTAATGCATACAAATCAAAAGGAATTCCCTAAACAGTCCCTACATTCAAATTCCCCTCTTAATTTCCCCAAAAAAGCTTCCTATTCGGCTCCCGCAAGGCACGCGGTGCGCGCGGCCTCCGCCCAGGCGAACAGATCGCCTGTTTCGCGACTTGGCCGGTCCCGCCTGGACCGGTCTAACATGTTCATTTCTTGAGAAAATATTAAGCATATATTTTCTTATGGTTCTTGTATGAAGGGTTTGTTCCTTTCAATGACTCTTCTTAAAATTTTGGAATTAGCCTTGTGCCTTTTATAAAAACATATGTGATATATTTCTATCCTTAAAAAAATGTCAACAATTGCAAAACAATAGTTATGTTTGTTACAACTTACAAGCAAGGATATTGGTTTTTGAGAATTATTAATTGCTCTGCAGTGGCCATCCATATGAGTAATACTTAAAGCCATATGAGGGAAAATTGGAAGAGCAAGAGCAAAACTTTTACCACTTTCTATGCATACTATATAGATATAATTGTGTTTCTATATATATCTTATGCATGAATGAGTAAAATAATTAATCTTCTCAATAGTGGCTATTAATTGGGCTTTGGTCTAATAGTTCATACCCCCCCCCCCCCCCCCCCCCCCCCCCTCGACGCTGAATTCTTTCGAATTCAGCACCTCGGCGATGAAATTCCTCCATTCTTCCTTCAAAATCAGCCCCCTCGACGATGGAATTCCTCTCTTCCCCCTTCAAAATCAGCACCTCGACGCTGGATTCTCTCAAATTCAGCACCTGAGCGATGAAATTCTTCTCTTCTTCCGACAAAATCAGCCTCCCGTTTGTCGTGTCCCCTACTCATCTCTTCTCTAGAAAGCGGTTCTAGAGGGGGCATGTCGTTCTCCTCCTCCAGGATCTCCACCTCTGAATTCCTCCTCCTCCGCAACGGGTTTGGATTTCCTCCCATGTCATGGCCATCGATGGTCTCTCTTACTTCCGATGTCACCGGATTAGTCTTCATTTCAAGTAATTTCTTCATCATTTCTTCCAACACGGTGAACTTCCCCTCCAACCTTTTATTGTTGGAGGTAATTTGATTTTAGAAATCAAAAAATCTTGCCTCCAAATTGGATTTCAATTGTCCGATTTCGCCTTCCAAGACTTCTACCTTCTTTCCGGCCACGTTCTTCCCAAGAATCTCATAGATCTTATTCCGGGAACGAAGAAATTGCTGAAATTTTCAAGATTTCAGCAGCCAATGGTCCCAAAAACAACGCTCTGATACCAATTTGATAGGAAATACTTGAGTTCGCAAGTAACCCTAAGGGTAAACTTGAGTTCTCAAGCAATCCTAACACCAAACGAAGAGCAAACAGCAGTAAATCTGCTGTCCAAAGCAGAAAAACAGCAAAACCACAAGGAAATCTGAGAGAAAACTCAAAGAAAAGCTTGTATTCCACTAGTCGATGAATAAAATAGCAAGATACAATTGATCCTCAATTCGAGAGGAGGATCGATCTCTCCAAAATCTCTAGACACCGCTAGAGCCCAAAGAAAACCTAAATCTAAGAGATCTCAAATTTCAGCCAAATTCCAGATGCCCAAACCCTAGGAAAAACAACTATTTAACGCATACAAATCAAAACGAATTCCCTAAACAGTCCCTACATTCAATTTCCCTCCTAAAATCCATTCAAAAACCTTCCTATTCGGGCGTGCGGCTAAAACGGCAGGCTTGCGTGCGGAAACGGGAGGCGGAACTTCCGCCTCGTTGTGGCTGGGCCGGTCCCGCGTGGACCGGTCTAACACAATCCTAGAATGCATGTAAACATTTTTTTAAAATCAGCAGGAAATGTCGGAGTTTCCGATCTTTTTCTTTCCCATTTCTTCGATAGGACATGTCATGTGTAATATTTGTTTTTATTGAATTTCGTTCTAAGGTTGCGCATAACTCGTATAAATTATGTACTATTGTACCTCTTTGGACTAGGAAAAAGTATTCTCCTTTATGTTGTGCTCATAAATCTCTCTACTTTCTGCCTTTTTTCTTCAACATGATATCCGAGCCACTCCTCTCAACTTCCTATTTCTCTTTAGTTTCAATGTCTCCTTCCTTTGTCTTAATCGTGAATACAGTTAAACACAGAATGGCGTCTGATAGAAGCTTCTCCATGGACACAACCTCCAACCATGAATCAACCTTCTATGGCTTCGACAATCATGAAAGCTTCTTTAACCTACCATATTATAGGACATGACTAAACAAACAAAACTATTTCCAATTGGCTCAATCATTCAATACATTCATTAGCAAGAAAGGCTAGGATAATCACTTCACCGATGCTGCCAGTCCTAAAAAAGATCCAAAGTTCAAAACAAAAATATGAAAATAATATGATTGTACTGACATATTGGTATCATAGAAAATAAAATTAATCAAAATTATGTATTCTAAGGAGTTGTAAAGGAAATCTAGATGCTGGAGATGAAATTTGTTTGAACAATGAACATACTGTCTCAAGTTACAATAAATACAAAATACCCTCCAAGACCTTTAATAAGGTGATCTCTCCATCGCTCAATAGTAAAATAACTCTTAATAGGCATTCATAACAACTCAATATATTTGAAAAATTATATTGAGAGTGTCTGGGGATAGAACAATATAAAAAAAATAGTTAAAAAGACAAGATAGCAAAATTCCTTCTCGGGTTGTTTGGAACAAAAACCCTTTCATCAATTATGGAAGTGTTCTCTAAAGTCTATATAAAATAGAGCCGCAAAAAGATCATGATGGGAGATCTAGTTACCAAAAGAGAAGCCTGATGGAAACTTCATGAGAAGCCAACTGATTAGAAACCTATAAAATACGGTAGAGGTTTCTCTACAACCAAGAATGAATCTAAAAACCAACACCATTCACACTCTTCTCTTTCAATCTTTCAATCAAGAGAAAATTGATAAGCTGGAAAAGGTGTTTAGTTGACTCCAAACAAATTTAACCACACCTAAAATGAGCCCAGATCAACGACAAAAAGATATGATTGTGAATGCATGTAATTAAAAAATTGATAAGTCCTGATTATGAATTGTAGAATCCGGTGAATTTGATCACCATGTAAGGGATACATATTTATTTCATCAAATACAATACTATTACAAGAACTACACTATAAGGAATAAGGATTACCTATGATTCGTTTTCTCTAGTTATATCTTATATATCATTTTCTCTAGTTATATCTTATATATCATCAAAACCACCCAAGATACGAACTCTATTACTACTCATTGAGAATTTCACAATGCGATCTCGTGGAGGAGGGTTGGCAATGCTAAGGAAAATGCTATATTCTACTTCCTAAACGTTGAAGAAAATCCTAAATTACAAAGTAAATATGCTCAATATATATCATTCCCTAGAGAGAGTACAATCATATTATGGAACCTATGTCTTGGTTATCTAAACTTCAATTAGCTCAAAACTATTCTCTTATTTATCAATAAATATCAAAAGTCTTTTTAGTGCGAAGCATGTTAAATGTTAAAACATGCCAAAAACACATATCCAAGCCATCCTAAAGCTTTCAAACTTTCAAGTCATTCATATTAATATTTGATGACCATCTCAGTTTATCAATATCACGAGGGTTAGATGGTTAAATCCAAGGTTATAAAATCAGACCGGATATAGAATTGGAAAAATGAGAGGTTCAAGGTTCAATGATTCGACCAGGGTCGAACCTGAGGTTGAACTAGATTATATAATAATATGAAAATTGTTTTAAATTTTTTTTAATAATAATAAAAATATAATGATCATATAATAATATAAATTTTTTACTAAAAAATAAATTGAATTTATACATTAATAATATCTTATGTATTTTTTAATTTAAATGCATTCAATATTTAAATTTAATTCACATTTAATATAAATTTAGTTCACGTATAAACTTATAAATTTAATATAATTATTTTAGGAATTTTATGCTTATTAAAAAATTAAAGTAAACTAAATTTTAAATTAATTTGTTTAAGTTAATATTCTATTCTAAATATATTAAATTAATTTACTAATTATTTAAAAGATTCATTGAAACAGCCAGTTCAAAGAAATCGGGACCAATTCAAAGGAAAATTGGTTGAACCGGTGGTTTTGGCTAGTTCAGTCTAGTTCAATGCAGAAGCGAGTTTTATAATAAACTAAACCAGCCATAAGACCAGTTCCCGATTAAACTGGTCGAAACAGCCGGTTCAGTCCAATTTTTAAAAGCTTGGTTATATCTATTATTGATGATCATACTAGAATTGCTTGAATTTTATTAATGAAAGATAAATCTAAAACATTACCACATTGTTTAGAAATTCCATCATAACATACAGACCATTATAAAACCAAAATTTAAGTCCTAGGAGCTGACAATAAAAAATAATGATTTTGTTCCATTATTGGGAACTGCTTCTTCAATAAGGGATTGTTCAACAAAGTTCCTGCATTTCTATCTCTCAAAAAAGAGGGAATGCCAGAAAGAAAAGTTGACATTTTGAAAGTTGCTAGATCCATAATGTTCTCTAGCAATACTCTAAAACAATATTGGGACGAGGTTGCCTAAACCACTACTAAAACATTAATCACATGCCAATAGGAAACCCAAAATTCAAAAACCTTATCAGTCTTTGGGTTTTCTATCATTTTTAACACTTCACCTCATAAAAGAAGCAAACTTGACCTAAAGCCTATTAAATGTTACAATCTTAAGACTAAGAAAATGTTATGCCACCATGGATGTAACATTCTTTTTTTAATTAATTGTCTTCCAAAACTAGCATTTAGGGAGAGAGTTCCAGCACTTTAATGAATATAAGTTTTGTAAGAATATTTATCCGCTCTTCCTAAGCTTACATCTCTACCTAACCTACCTAAATCTCATTCCACAAACCATACCAAAAAATCTTAATGTCACATAAATCAAGGAAATGAGGTAGTTACAAATGAATTGCTTATACAATACATCAAGAAAATTCAACTTATAAAGGTGATCAAAGCATTTCTCTAAAGCAAAACCGCATTTCTGACACAAGCCCTGAATATCATTCATAAATTAGCAATGCGTTTGACCTTCACACCCTGATTTCCCACAAGGAAGGTACAAGGATTCAATAACTCATATAAGATACTCAATCAGTGAATACATCTCCTATGACAACTTATCCCCTCATTACATGCCTTTATAGTAAATCTCTCTAGTATAAATATTCTCAACAACATCTATCAAGTTTAAAAAATACCTGAATGGAGTGATATTAATCATGAAAAAATATGGGCACTGAAAACAAATGGCATATGGAAGCTCTTAAACCTGCAAAAGGGAAAGAAATTTGTTGAGTGCTAACGGATCTTTAACACCAAATACGATCCTAATGGGAGTATTGAAAAGTACATTGCTAGATTGGTTGTAGAAGGGCTTACTCAAACAAGGATTGATTATCAAGAAACTATTTTCTCCTTGCCAAGATTAATTCAATATGTGTTAAAATCTCTCTTGCTACTAAGCTAGATTGGTCTCTTCATCAACTACATATCAAATGCGTCTTCCTAAAGGGTGATCTTTAAGATGAATTCTATGTAAATATACAACCTAATTTTAAGACCACCTACAATAAAAATAAAGTTTGCAAACTCAAGGAATATTTACATGGTCTAATACAATCACCAAGAGCTTGATTGGACATATTCATTACTATGATTAAATGACATAGGTATTATGAGGGCCAAGTTGATCACACTTTATACATAAAAAAACTAATATTGGGTAAAATTAAGATCCTCATTGTCTATGCTCATAATATTATCTTATCTAATACTAATGATAAAGAGTTTCTCAAACTAAAAAAATCCTAGCACAAAAATTTGAACTTGAAGATCAAGGATCATTAAAATACTTTCTTGATATAGAAATTGTAAGATCAAGAAAAATTATATATGTCACTCAGCAAAAAATTACCCTAAACCACTTAAAAGAAATTGATATTATAGGATGCCAACTTGTTAATACCCCGATGGATCCTATCACTAAAATTAGGTCCAAAGGTGATTCTTCACGTGTGGACAAAGAAAATTATCAATACTTGGTTGAAAACCCCATATACCTTTCTCACATTAAACTTAGCATATCCTTCTTTGTCAGTATAGTACATTAAACTTAGCATACCCTTCTCTGTCAGTATAGTTAGTTGATATATGAATTCCCATATTGAGGATCCTGATGTTATATATAAAATACTAGGTATCTTAAAAAGCTACTAGAAAAAGGGCTATTCTTCAAGAAAGGATTTAATAAGAGTATTGAAATCTTTAAAAATAATGATTAGGTAGGATCATGGTTTAAAATTGCGCAATAAGAGGCACACCTAAAGGCGCACCTCAGCGGAATTTTGTTCTTTTAAGCCTCAAAGCCTAAGCAATGAGAGTTGGGATTGAGGCGTCAAGTTCACTGAGGAATGCTTTGAGGCACGCCTCGCCTCATGTTTTAGAGGAGTCCACCTCTTATAATTAAAAAAAAACCTAACCTAATATATATCTATTCGATTCCCCCCACCCCCGCGGGTCTTCGGTCATTTTCGAACCGAAACGAGGCTTTTTCTCCCTTCCTCTTCGAGTGACATTTTCCCCTCTTCCTTCCATTCGACTGATATCGGCTTCCTTCCACCAAGAGTTGCTCTTCACCTCTTGCTTGGAGTTCTCTTCTACTGCGAGTTGAGCTGGAGTCTCCTTTGATTGACCACTGAAAGCTCTTCTTCTTCATGGTTAGAGTTTAGGGTTTATTGAAAAAAGGTGAAATAGCTTTACTTCCTCTTCTTCTTTGCACTCATATGTGATTTTTTTGTTATACCATCGCACTTATCGACATCTTCCTTTGGGTTTTATTCATTTTTGGCAAAAATTTTTTCTTTTAAATTTTATGCAATCTTGTTTTGTTTTAGACATACAATTGTCAATGTCATTTGATTGAATGATTGCCATTGATAGTGTAAGAAAATAAAAATGATAGGACTTTTTTATTTATGTAATATTTAGATATATGTTTATTAGACTTATGTTTATGTGGACATGTGGTTTATCATTTTATGTTTACGCAATATTTTGATTTTGAGGCTTACGCTTCACCTCACAAATGAAAAACGCCTTAATAACTGATTACGCAATTTTAAACATTGGGCAGGATCTATAATTGATTTGAAATCCATATTTAACAATTGCTCATTTGTATGATGAGTCTAGTCACTTTGAGAAGCAAGAAGCAAGAAAAAGCTGAATTTATAGTCATAGCCCGTAAAATTTGAGAGGGAATGTAGCTCAAAGGACTTCTAAATGATCTAAAAATCCATACCAAAGAACTAACGGTAATGATGTGTTGTAACGAAGATACAATCAACATTGCCAAAGATCTTATCCACCATGATAGGATAAAACATATCAAGATTGAAGAAAATAAATCAAACCAGAGATTATTAACGTGATCTAAATCCCAACAAAATCTCAAACTATTGATGTCCTCACTAAAGCCCCAAATCAAATGCAATTTAACAATCTCAATTAAATATTATGAATGATCATCATATATTCCCAACTTAAGGAAGGGTGTGAAAATCCTATATGCAATCTACGATGACTATGAACATTTTAAAAAAATTAGCAAGATTGTAGCCTTCAGAAATCCTTTGGCCATTTTCAGACTGCCTAGATGTTCAGCACAACATTTCTGAAATGATTGCTAGCAATTTTAGCTCTCCAACAGTTACAAAAAGCTTGCTTCCAGAAAGAGCGATGCTGACACAAGCCCAAATCAAAGTGATCACGAGTTTCCACATGAAGAGGACTAATATTATAGTTAAATTCCAATTTTGGTGCATTTAGGAACTTCTCTATTTTCAGATTTCTATATTTCTCATTTAGGTAATGTGTAATTTTTGTTTCTATTGCTTTCCATTAAAATTGTGCACAACTCCTATAAACTTTCTACTTTTCTACCTCTTTGGAATAAAAAAAGAAGAGTTTGCTTCTCAATATTGTTTCTATAAGTCTTTCTACTTTATGCTTTCTTTTTTCAACATAAACATATATGCATAATATGTCAGACTTTACATGTATTTTATGTTCATGGACAATGATAACTTGGGCGATTTCTGTCGAAAGGTGCTATCTACACACAAACTTTCTGGACTAACATAGCTTATACGGAGGATTGTCTGACTTTTAAAAACCAAATCAAACATTCACATCCCAGGTACATGCCAAAAGTTAAAGTTAGCACACATAGGATAAGCTCAAATTTTATAAAATTATATGGCATAGAGATGCTAAGAATCAAGTGAAATCCTTCTTATATTTGCTCTTTGACTCTGCTAACTTAAATCCAAACCAATACAAGAATTTGCAGGATATGTCATTTTCCATGGGAAGCCACAGCCTCAATTCCAAGTATGGTGACACATGATCACCTGTATATTCTGATCCCCTTCAAAATGTAATTACAAAGAAAAACGCAGAAGAAATAGAAAACTCTCCTTAGGCCAACGAAACTCACACAATATGGAGAAACGGCAACAAATTCAAATAATTTGTTTGAAAATGGTCCACTTTTAAGTTTGCAATCTCTAATAGTGTCACGTCTAACAAGAGGATCTCTGAGTGTAGGAAATAAATGTCAGCAAACTTTAATTTCATCATATAATCCCTTTCAAGAACCCAATCGTTCTTAATCAGTAATGTAATGTTATTGCGAATCCGATACGAACACGAACCTCTACAACTTCATAGGTTTTTCAAGTTCGAACCTTATAATTTAGCTACTGTTGCAAAAGGTAGGAAATGAAGGAGAGAAAAAAAATATATTAATGAATATCATTCAGTTACCCTTTATGTACCGAGGACGCGATGATAAGGAGGTAAATCTTCTTGCAGTGATCTGCATGAGCTTCCAATTGATCAGCTACTCATCTCGAATACCTAAAGATGGCGGTGAGCATAATAAACTCCAGAGAGGAAAGCAGAGATGGAGAACCCCTATTCAGCTCAATTTGTAACAATGTAATCCCTCCAGCGAACACCTAAGGATTCACCAAATGCAAAAATATAAACAAAAAAAGGAACTAGGGTTTTTGTCCGAGGAGAATGAGAAGTTGGGGTTTTTGGCCTCTGAAGTGTTAAAAAGGCGGTCAATCCGAAAAATCGAACAAAATCATCCGACTTAATTTTTAGTGACTCTTTTATAGGTATTTGAGTATTTCATTCATATATATTTTATTTATAATAAATTCAAAAAAATAATAATTTGATGTACTGAAATTTTAGTCTTTAAATTGCACGTAATTTTTAGAATTAAAATAATGAGATTTAGGCGTAGTTTGGAGTGACTTTTTTAATGTTTTCTAAAGGAAATTTCTGGTTAACTCTTTAATACAAAAAATTCTTGTTCAGCATTTTTTTGTATTAAAAAGTTATTTTCGAAAGTTGTCCCAAACAAAGTCTTAGTGCATGTTTGGCACAGCTGCAACATGTTACAACGTTAATTACGAAGTAGCTACATTAAAAAATTAATTAATTTTATGATTGCAAAAAACAGTTTTACAATACAAAAAAATAAAAATAAAAAGCAATGAAAAAATAACAAAAAGTAATAGGAAAACAAAATTATGATTGTTATTTGAAGAGAAACAATAAGAAATTTATCCTAAAAAGAACTTTAATATTAATGGAAGCTAATGAATGAAAACTTTTTTAGTAGTTTAGATTTGAGCTAAAATAAATTATTAAGATAATCTTTATCAAAGTCATAAAGTGTATGATCGTGAATCTGTTTGGACCTTTAGTTGAAACTTGAAACTCACCAAATCTAAAGTCATCTAAAAAATTGAGTGATCTAAAGTTGTATATCATACAAATAGCTCAATTTAATTCCAAATTAAGCCCATATAGTACATTATTGAACTCAATCAAGGCATTATGTTGCAATATTAGATTTGATGATAATTTATTTCTTCACCTTTGTATGACATCTCTATTTAACTTTGCATTTGAGTGGTATGCCAACCTCCTGGATACATGAATATGGGATGATAGCTTCCAACTTACACTAGTGTATCAAATACACTCATGGAAGTGAACATTTTTCCCTCTTGAGTAATCTTCAACTCTTTTGACTAATGAAATATACATATATGAAAATCTTGAGTATTTTGTACATTAGATGTCGATCCACTTGACTACTCTTCTTTCATACTTTAATTAGAAGTAAACACACGCCTTCAGTCTTATTCTCTTATAAAAGAGGGGTAGGATAATTGATGATCTACATCTTTTAGATTATTTGCTGATGAGGATAATTTTCCTACACTTACTTCTAACAAGATTATTTTAAACCACAAATCTTTCAATGTCATTGATGAGGAGACTCATCAAATTGATGATGATGATGACTCCTCTCAAAAGGCCTTCCAATTAAGGAGCATGCAATTAGAAGGCTATGATGATATGCATTTTTACTTTGATGCACTTCTAGTTCTATAGGCTCCTCATTTAGGTGCATAACTTGTCAAATAATGTTTTAAGTATTGATCATACACCAAGGTTTTTGAGTCAAAATCTCTAAGATTGTATTATATTTTTGTGTATATATGTTCATGGCTCCTAAAAGATATCATTAAGAATATCCTATTTTATTTTATAAAGTTTCATTATGTTGCACTAATATTACAATTGCATGATAACTATATTTAATGATGAAATGGAAGATATACATGTTTCTTACTTTTCATCTCATTCAGTTACTTGATAATTAAAAAAAATAAAATTCTCCCTTATACTTAGTTTAAATGTCACACCAAAGTATGCACAAGGTTATGACGACGACAACAACAACAAACCTATATCTCACTACATGAGATAAATTTTATTTCTCCATTGTGTTTTATTAAGAGTCAAATTCTCATTTAAATATAACTAAAAAAATCATTTTTAATACTTACTTATCAAGCATTTTTAGGACTACCTCTATCTTAATTAACATAGGTCAAATCTAATACATCTACTCTCCTAACAAGATCATCGAAAGGCAGACATTTTATCTCACCAAACCATATAAGGTGGCTCTCTTTAATCTTATCTACCACTGGAGCTGCCACAACCTTTTCACATATGAACTCATTTCATATTATGTCTCTAATTGTAAATCCACTCATTCACCTTAGCATCTTCATCTCTACAATATTTAACTTAATTTTATACATCTCTTTTATGGCCAAAAATTTGTGCTATGAAGCATCACAGGTCTCACCATCATTTTTTTTAAAAATTTCCTTAAATTTGAGGGTTACTTTTCTTATCACACAATGGGGGCTCAATGCATTCCTCCACTTTAATCATCAAATTTGAATTCTGTCAATAATATCCCTATTTATTTCACCATCAATTTAAATAATAAACTTGAGATATCTTAACATTACACTTTTTTTAATGACTTAATCACTCAATGTCACAATCTCACCACTAGAGCTATTACTACTAAATTTATTAATAAATATTAAGATTTAGATTTTCTTAATAACCCAAACTTCAAAAGAACTAGAAGATCACATGTAATATCTCATATTTTGATCCAATAAAATAATTTTTTTCTAGAAGTCATTATCACAAAACTGTCTTCTTCATAGTATAGTTAATTACACTAACTTTTTCATAAAATTAAGGCATTTATACATATCCTTAGAAAATTGATACATATTGACACAAGCGAGGATTTTAGGACTGTCAGATCTTTGTTTTGTAAACCAATTTCATCAAAATTTTTTAAATATGATGAGCTATTTTATGAATATTTTTTATAATTTTTAAAATTTCAAATTTGAAAATATAAAGGAATTGATAAATTGTTTTGTTAAAAATTAAATAATTAAATTTATTACATTTATATTATATTATTATTTTATTATAAAATTCTATTTCCATTAATTGAAAGCCATCATATCCCTTTTCTCCTTATCACTTTGGCTAATTATAGAGACCAGGAACTAAATTAGAGAGAAAGTAAGGAGATAGAAAAAAGAAACTAAAATTTGGAGACCGTAAAGCAATTTTTGTTAGTTGGTTATATTGTAAGATTTGCTTGTCTTATTGTTAGGAACCATTATCCTATTTGTATTTTTAAGGATTTTATGTATTTTTTATTTAATGCATTTTAATTTGGTCAAAACTCACAAAAGTTGTGATATCTTAATTTTTAGCAAACTTTCATTGTCTAACTTCTAGTATATAATTAATGTTGTCAATGTCAACATTTTAACAGTAATATTATTGAATTTTTTCAATAAAATGAATTTTGTATATTTTGCACTGAATAAATAATTGGATATATTTTTATTTAACCATATTGTTAATATAGCCAATTAATATATTTTGAAAGGATGTATTGTACACACTCTCAACATGGTGGGAGGAGCCCGATGCGGCAAGGCGAGTAGGCTTTGTACACGCTCTCATAGCGTGGTGGAGATAACTTTAAGTATAATGTGTATGTGATTTAATACCTATGGGAAAAAACTGTGCATTTTTAATAGATACCTCGAAAACCTATGCACACTCTCGTAGCATGGTGGGATTTAAGAACTACAGCCACAGTGTCACCTGACACCTACCATACATGCACTTGTAGTGTGGTGGGAAGGCTCGGCTCCCCAAATTTCTCCTAAATATGGGAAACACCTGGAGGATTCCAAATTTTTAGTAAATAGAGGACTCGGGCTTAAACAAAAAATGTAGGGGACTTGAATGAACCTCAGGGAATTGAACTCTAAATCAATAAATGCACAATCAAATTAAATATACAAATCTTAAAATGCAAGTCAAGCTACATTCAAATGAACATTAATGAATAATCAAAGGACTTGTAATGAATAAGGTGCTAAATCGCCACTTGCTTGCAAGCAAACATCAACAGATGATAATCAATCAAACTGAGAGGAATACATAATCTAAGTGCAAGCAATTCATCCCAGTTATGGATGGCATACTCATGAGTAATACATGAAGGATATGCAAATGCAACAATGTCCTTCAATCAACATCAACATATAAGAAAATGTATTCGGCCCCTCAAGCAATGAAAGATGACATTTCAATCAGCATGCAAGCCAACCTAATAAACACAAAATTTTTGCCAATAAATACGGTAGCTTATTAGCCAATGCGTATGGGGAAATCAGTGACAAATGCAATGAAATCCATACTCTCAATGATTGGCATTAGCTTGCAAATGAATATGCTAACCTGGCTTGTGAACAACAACAATAGATCATAAGTGATGTACTTAAACCCGCAAACAAACACAACAGTCCTATTACAAGGGCTACAAGGAGCATATGAGTATTTATGGGTGACATCACAGGGCATGCAAGCAAACATAGTAACTTGCCAACCAATGTGTGTAGGAAAACCAGTAATGAATGCAGCTTAACTGGTAGCCCGCATCAACATGCATTCAAAAACACTAAACATGATTATAGATGTTAATACTCCCTACAGACATATGCACATAACATGTAATAAAATGCCAGGGCGTTCATACAGTTAACAACAATTAATTTCAGGCAAATAAATTGATCTCATGTAAGCTAGGATGGTCGATTAATAGCAAATGTGAGCATCTACGAACTGTTGTATAAGACCCACCACATATACAATATGTTATATACGAGCAAATGTAGAAGATCGTACAACAAATGCAAACACCTACGAGTAGCACTATAAGATTTGTATTCAGTGCGACTTGCCCACTGATAATAACAGAAGGCCCATAATGCACAAAACGGTCCTACCTATAAGCAATGATGGTGGGTGTATTGCAAATGTGATGGATCCTCTATAGGCATGAGAAAGAAGATTACAACAAGTATAATTGATGTGAAACATACATGCAAAGATGAGTTACTAAATGAATTTGCACGCTTAATATTTAGAGCATAATAATTATAAACTTTATATGGATTATAAAAGACAAAATAAAACACAAAGAGCGGTAAAACAAGCTTATGCTAAATCACATACAAATGAGTTAAGATCGTAAAATAGTAACTTTATTCTAACATTGCATACATGATTGATTTTCAATGATGATCCCTAAACTAACAATGAGTTTAGTTACTATAAGAATTCACTCACTCAATTACCTAATTCACTAGGTTATTGCGGATGAGA